CCGCCAGTCAGTCGACTCTCCACATTCTCTGCCTGCCACATCGGCGACCGACCATATGCCTTGGGCCAAGTGGCACAGCACCGACCGTTATCAATTCCAAGTTCACCCAATGCCCAACACAGCTGACACTATGATAGCTGCTGTGAAAGGTACTGCCTCCTTCCAATGAAAGCTGATCTGTTTCCATGCGACCAGCTGATCCTGCAACGACTCCTGCTTCTTGAGCAGGTCTGAGATCTCGGTTGTTCTCGACCGGCCAATCATACAAACAGGTCTTCAGGTCAAGGATAATCAGTCAGTCAACCAACTAAATAATAAATCAGCCGAAGATCTGAATGGGCCATCTGCACTGTTCCAGAAGCATCGACCGGCGGCTGAGGCTGAGGAATAGGCGTAAGCGGAGGGACCGACGGGAAGGGCAATGGCAAAGGTGGCAACGGCGGAAGTGGAGGCGGAAGGAGAGGCGGCAGTGACGACGCCGGGCGGACCGGCGGCATAGAAGGCATAGAAGGCATAGAAGGCATAAAGCCGCCAAGGCCACGTCGTTCCTGCACAAATCAACATCTTGACACACACAACATAAGATATACACAGCTGAACTGCACCCGAACTGCACCTGACCTGCACCTGAACAGCACCAATGTATACAATCTCGAAACCTGAACTGCACCTGAACTGCACCTGAACTGCACCTCAACTGCACCTGATGACAACATGTGGTATTGCAAGCCAAGCCTCGCAATCATCGACCGGCTTCGTGGTTTTCCTGTTATTCTTCTTCTCGAAGCAAAACTCCATGAAGGTCCGCTTCTTCTGCTGGGACCGGCTCTTAGTTGCACAGACACGACACAGTCTGTCAGTCAGCTGGAATCGACCGACAAGCTAGTTTAGCCAAGCGACATTGGGGTCAGGCGTCTGGAACTTGCTGCCTTTCTTTTTGACCGGCTGATCAGCACTGCCACTTGCAGGCTCAGCGACCGGCTGATCAGCAGCACTGCCACTTGCAGGCTCAGCCGGCTCAACATCCGCCTTGCCGACCGACTCGGTATCGCCCTCCTCAGACACCTCAGTCAGGAGCTCTGCGACCGCCTCGGCTGATCTCTTCTTCTTCTTCTCCTCCCTGACCTGTTTCCTGGATTTTTTTGCGACCGGCTTCTCGTCCTTGGCCTCCTTGTCACCCTTCTTGTCCTTCTTGTGCCTGCCGACCGTCTTCCTGTCCCTGGCCTTGTCGTCGCCCTTCTTGTCCTTCTTCCTATCCTCATCATCGGCATCTGCCATGGCGACCAACACGTGAATGGAGGGCACTACTTATTACAATGTGAAACACAACACACACTTCAATGCTGACCGACGTTATGTTCATGTCGCCTGGCTGCCAACCATGTGTTCAGCACACTTGACAGAAGTGGCTGGTGACCGGCAATTGCGAGTAAAGCTGTGGAGCACTTCACTTGCAAAGCACAGAGTCCTCAGCCGGTACGTTGTCGACGACCGGCGCATCACGAGATGCGAGATGCTCCCTCCAGCACCTGAAGGACATAAAGCCGACAAGCACAAACTTGAAAGCATCTTTGTGCTCAGCTCCTGCACCGACCGGCAACTCGGCCAGAAAAATCACAGGAACCTGGGCGAGAATATGCACGAGATATAATAATCATGACTCCAAAGCTCAGCCCCCAGCTCACCTCCCGGACCGGCGAAGGCCTGCCCAAGCTTACATCTGGAACTCACCGGCCAACCTATTACCTTAGGCCCCAGCATCGACCGGCAACGCGACCAGACGAGCCTGCATCAGCATCGTAGGTCAGAAAACATTGCTGACTAAAAAAACCTCAGCCCCCAGCACTGATAATGCCATCGACCATCAAGCAAGCCTGCGTAAGCTTACGTTACATCTGGAGTCTGGAGCTGCAGGGACAACGTACCACCTCAAACCCCAGCTGGCGACCGGCTAGGCGATGAGAAGCGCCTGCAAGACTAAGAGAGGTCAGGAGTCACACAACTGGGTGACTCGAAACCTCAGCCCCCAGCAGTCAATGTCCTCCTCCAGCAAGGAGCCCTGCACGAGCTTACATCTGGTATCTGGAATGTGAAGAAGGGACAACCTATGACCTCAGGGCCAAGCTTGGACCGGCAGGCAGAAGACGACAAAATGGGCCTGTGTCTGTCTGTGCATCATCGGCTCGACTGACCGGCTGCCCCCAAAATCTCAGAGCCACACAGACAAACCGTGCTCGATTGATGGTGGCCTGGGCGAGCAGAGCTTTCTGTCTTGCGGCTGCACATTGCAACTGAGGGTCCAGCAAGCCACCCTCGTCGCGACCGACAAGACACGTGACCAACCATAGGTCAGGCCTCAGGCGGTGGTTTGCAGACGTGAAGTCGACCGGCAAAAATCCGCGTCCTGCAGGCCCTGCACAAACACACCGGGACCGAAGTCGACCGGCAAGCGATGTGACACAGGGCGCCATGGACCCGGGTCCCACGGCTAGCCCTGTGTCCTGCCTGAGTGCCGGGACCTAAGTCGACCGGCGAGCTCAGGAGTGCACCGGGACCGAAGTCGACCGGCAAGCGATGTGACACAGGGCGCCGTGGACCGGGGTCCCGCAGCTAGCCCTGTGTCGTGCCTGAGCGCCGGGACCGAAGTCGACCGGCGAGCTCAGGAGTGCACCGGAACCGAAGTTGACCGGCAAGCGATGTGACACAGGGCGCCGTGGACCGGGGTCCCACAGCTAGCCCTGTGTCGTGCCTGAGCGCCGGGACCGAAGTCGACCGGCGAGCTCAGGAGTGCACCGGGACCGAAGTCGACCGGCAAGCGATGTGGCACAAAGCACTGCGGACCGGAGTCACACAGCGAGCTCTGTGCCATGCCTGAGTACCGGGACCGAAGTCGACCGGCGAGCTCAGGAGTGCACCGGGACCGAAGTCGACCGGCAAGCGATGTGGCACAAAGCACTGCGGACCGGAGTCACACAGCGAGCTCTGTGCCATGCCTGAGTACCGGGACCGAAGTCGACCGGCAAGCCCAGGAGTGCACCGGGACCGAAGTCGACCGGCAAGCTCAACTCAGCAACAGCAGCACCGGGACCGAAGTCGACCGGCCAGCTGCTGCATCACGAACGTGACCGACGAGGGGGGTTTGAGGACTTAGGGCTTAGGGCCTTAGGGTTCAGGGTGCCGACCGACCTAAAAAACCCAATCCTAAATAATCCGAAGCAAATGCAAACTCCAACCTTACCAGCAAATCCGAAACCACATCCTTTAACCCACACCCGATCCAAACAACGCAAAAAATCACTCGACCGACCACACTAAAACACCCTGAACCACTAGCCTAACTTAAACCCCAAACCCCATACTGGGGCATCCGGCCCATGGCGTCAGGATGATCTTCTCGACCGGCAAGCTTGAGTTTAGGGGTATTGCTGTAGGGCTTGAAGGTTAATGGTTTTCATCTTCTGTGTTATTTATTTTAGGCTCTGAGTTTGGGGGTACAAGCATTAATTACAACCGGCGGGCTGTTGGTAGTAAGGGTTGTTGAGATATGTGGGCTATTGGGGCCTTAAGGTTTTAATACCCAAGTGAGGATTTACGTGCCGCCCTGCCCCCCCCCCCCTCCCTATGTATGGATCCTGCCCTTTACGACCGTCCCGTTAAGTGAGGAGGACTGGGGCCCCCAGCCTCCCTCACTTAATGGAACGGCTGCACCAAAAAGATAAACGACCGGCAGGTGGACCCAAGCTGTTTTAGCAAAAAAGATAAACGACCGGCAGGTGGAGGCAAGCTGTTTTAGCAAATGCAGTTAATCAGCTCACACGAAAACGGTTTCACCACTTCCCCTAAAAAACCTTACAGCTCAACCCTGTCTCAGTCGCGCAGAGCGTGTCCACAGGTGAGACCGCTCGTCAGCAGCCCTGTCAATGGGACTAACATGCGGGGAAAACATAGAGTCGGCGGAAGCATACAGCTTGGGGAACAAGTTCCGGAAAGACTACATACACGATGGACATGTCTATACAGGGCTCTTCGCTACCCTTTTCGGGTGAGACGATGGCAGGACTAGGGTAAATTTTCCGGCCACCGTGGGGAAAAGCTTAATCAGAAAGGACGCTTCTAGAGTCGCTGGTAAAGCTCACCCGACGCACAAGGGGAATTCGTCACCACTCGCCGATAAAAGATGGATCACCTGATAAGTCAGTTGACGTTGTTGTAAAGCGTGGGAAGGCCGTGGTCCCCCGGTTCGCCTCATGTCGGCTCCCCTAGACAGCTTTGTGGAATACTTCAAACGGGGCAATTGCTAAGTTGGAGTCAATGTCATCCAGTGGGAAGTTGCTGTGCAAGCTTTGACAGATCATATGTATGGTCATCCAGAAGTGTGTCCCGTCGTACGGTGTAGACATGCACCTGCAGACCTGACAGTCTGATGGGATGTTCCAGAGGTTTCCGGTTGCGTCATTGGGAGCCACCGGTCTCCCATGCTTGGCAAAACACGTAGGCAAAAAGCGGCAGGGTCAAGTGGAACAAACGTAGGGAGGCACACCACTCCCACATCGGTCTGGGAATAGAGTGCGGGATGACATTCAGACCCACATAAAACCTCCAGAATAATTTGTTGGAAAGCGTGATACCAGTCGAGGTTGATGGTCAGGTGGGAAAAGTCTAAGGAGAGCCCATCCTCCACTGATAATCTGATCATCGTAACGGTGGAATTGAGTACCGACCTGCAGTGGACGGTCAGGCGCATGTGCTTGTATTGGCAATCGGCAAGAAGTCGTAATGTCAATCACTGCGGGACATAGTGGCAATCCTGCGGTTCGCGCGAAGCTGGTACCATGGCGGCATGGATAAGGAAAGGGACGATCCACGCTGTCTTGTGCCAGAACCTATGAAATGAATATATTATACACAATATATTGCAACAGGGTGAGGCAGGAGGGAGCGGGGCTGCCAAGAGGCACTGAATGAAGGTGCACGATTCGAGCTTCGATTGAGGCCAGGGCGGGCTGCAGTCCAGGTACGCCAGAATATCCTTTAAAATGGAACTTGGGCTTGCCACATCTGCTTGCGGCAGAATCACATTCAAAGCAACAGCACAGGCCTTGGCAGTTACAGGACTGTTACAAGCACCCTCTCTCAATATATAATGCAATAATAATGATAATAATAATAATAATAATAATATATATATATATATATATTCATGTTATATATATTTTTCCCATGGGCAAAGCTGAGCCCCCGACGATCGATGTTATATATATATATATATATATATATATATATATTACATAATATACTATATAGTAGGACTAACAGATCACGTGGTTCTGCTCAGGTCCTCCGCTCGGAAACGCAGCAGCTCTGCCTCCATTTGAAGCCGCTGCTGCCTCGTAGCTCGCTTTGATATTTAAAAAATACAAATGAAATACGGTTTAGGGTTTAGGGTTTAGGGATGTTTAGGGTAAGTTATGTTATTATTTTATTAGTTTCAGAAGAACGACTTGGCAACCACTACACCCACTGCAGAATTGAATCCGGAAGTCCCGGACCCTTTTGACTTGGACGATGCCAAGGCTTCTTGTCGCTGACGCTCCAAATCTTACGAAAGCTCTCAACCCAGGTGCTCGCCGGGGCCATCCACCGCAGGTCTCCAATCGTAGAAGTAATCCTGTGCACCCAACACTACGCACTCATTAAAGCTCCATAACATGCGCATGACATGTCCAACTCGTGGCTGGGGGGCGATCCTCTGTGTAGAACCATCTTGGCCAAGGTGTCCCGAAGCGCCGCCCGGGGGCTGCTGGGACTTTCTGCGAGGATAGGTAGCCCTGCGACTCGGGCAGCCTCTCACTACTAGTAGACTTCTACGCAGTGGCAGCAGCTTTGCCAATCTGAATCTGGAGACAGAAGGGAGCCTGCAGCTCGTCCAACGACAGGAGTCCATCGCCATCCTTTGCCAGATGCACTCCCTGCTTGAATGTCAAGTCCGATCGTTAAAGGCGTTCAGCCCAAGGTGCCCCATCCAACGCGGCAAACAGCTCGGCGTGTTGGGACTGGATCTGCTTGGCGTCCTCCGTAGGCCGGACAGCCTGCACCAATGATTCAAACTGCACGAGAAGATGCAGAAGTCACTGAAGCAAGATCCTGTGACGTTGTGTCTGTGGGCATCTGCAAGGCACAGGTGCCTTGGGAGCCTTCAGTGTGGCAAAGGAGTGCCAGAGGTCGAGGCAGTGGCCCTCGTAGTAGAGGTGCGACATAGCGTGAGTTGGAAGGAAAGCTCTGAAGTAGCCTTGGATCCGACAGCAAGGGAACTCGGGCACTTGAGTTGGCCGGTCCAGCAACACGCACAGCCGCATGGTCATTGAGGGCTGAGGCTAAGGGGTGACAAGGCGGCTGGCTTTGCAGCCATGCAGAAGATCACACTATCAGCCCTCGTGTCTGCTTCGATCTGGCGGGCTCAGGGTCTCGCATCGCTTCCTAGCGAAGGTGCCTGCCTTTGTCTCTGGAACACTTTGCCCTTCACGCAGCTGTTCTATGTCGTTCTCAAAGCTGCCGTCGTGCTCCGATCTTGCTCAACAAACCTTCACGCTCCGACCGGGAATCGGGGCATAAAGCGCTCATTTCCAATGGTCAACAACTTTGCCATAGATGTGCTCGAGCGTGCAGGTACCATTCTCCCAACCATGGATGTTGCTTATCGTGTATTCGTAGTCATATTTCCCTCCCACGAAGGTCTTCTTCTTCACCATGTGACCCCAGTACCGACCCTTGATTTGGCAGAAAACAATATCCTTCTCCTTGATGTCTTCATGTTTGCGAACCGGTACATATCTGCAGCATTCCCCGCTTTTGATCCGCGGATGCAGGCTGTTTCCTGATCCACGGAATTCGACGGTTTCTCCCGCCTGCAGCCTTGCCCGCCAGGCTGCATTTCCGGTGAGCTTGGCTCCGACTTCAGGCACCTCCGACTCTGATTCGATGATGCCATCGGCTGAACCATCAGCAGATTCGCTGGCAGCTCGGCGAGAATTCGCCCACTCTAGCACGCGCTTTCCAAAGCAGGACAACTCGGACAAGTCAAGCACAAGCTGGCTCGCAACCCACTCGGAGAGCTCGTGTAGTGCATCCACACCATCCACACTCAGATGCAGCTCATCGCCGATCTCGGCAGCCACGCCTAGCTCGCCATGCACGTAAATCTGCGTGCTGTGTTGTTGAAATCCAGCATCCAGCAGTGCAGCGGCGATCTCGGCGGCCTCGCTACGAAGCAAACGGGCGCGCACTGACTATTCGAACAAACGCTTCAAGCTTACGAAGATTCCGTTCGTTCAATCCCTTCTTGCATCCGGGCTTGGGAAGTCGGCGAAGAACTGTTCTTGCTTTCCCTGAACTTCAAACCTGTCAAGGCAAGGTACCAGATTTTCTTCCAGCTTGACAGCTGCAACCACCGGGGTCGATTCATCTCGTTCTGGTGCATTCACCAAGGCGGCTTCCCCACAGCCAGCATGTCCGCTGTCTTGCTGCCCCTCAAATGCTTCGAAAAATCGGGTCGCCAAAGTGGCACCATACTCCTCACCGGGACTGAAGTCTTCCAAAAAGGATCTGCACATCGCTTCAGCTTGGCCCCGCTCGCACGAAGGTGCATCCAGAAGCAGCACCGGTGGTGAGCGCGAGGGATAGTCAGTGGGCAGCTGCACGGTCAATTCGGCATGAGCGTCCGTACATCGCAGGATCCACTCGCAAACATCTGTTTCGAAGAAGTCGTCCCCGAACATAGCAGACAGTGCCTCTGCTTCATCACGTCTGCGAGCAGAATCGTCAGCCATGCTGCTCCGAAGCCCGCACGTCAAGGCAGAAAGACCTCTGGGCTCTGGGACTTGGACACCGAGACGAGGAGGATTTGAGGACTGGAAGGCGCGGAACACGAAGATGAATCACAGTCGAAGCTCCGAATCTATTTCCCACGACCAAGCCGGTGTACCTGCTGCTACTTGGGTTCCTCATGGACCGGGCGCATGGTCCAGCGGGAACTTGAAGCCAGAGCTGCCGGGCATCTTCGGTCATTCTAACATGGACCCATCCTTGAAAAAGCGAATCCTGCACAGCTGCAAGATTCAGATTAGCAAACAAAGGTTGACCAGTTGGGGTTATCTCCGAATTTTGTCCGTTTCGCTCCAGTCCTGGCTCCGCGCTTCTTTCGAGAGGGGTCCCCACTTTCTTGATCTATCGTAACTTATAGAAGCCCTATAGATCCCGTTAAAGGGACCCTTAAAGGAACCCATAGCGCCTTGACCTATACAGCCAAAGCTCTCCGTGCCGCCGCGGTGCGTGCCGGTACCGGAAGCTGAAACTGGAAGGTCGTGGCCTCTGTTGGGTCGCAACACCGGGACTTCGGGTGTGCTATACTGCTGCGCATGGTTCCTGGAATGTTTCCCTGTCGAGGTTCTTCCAAATCTTTCACAGACCACAATCACCGTGTACCTGCCAGGGGACCTAAGCACAGAACACCTGCGGTCTGTTGTAAGCAGCCTGCCACTGTGCACTCGGGGTTCCCATCTTCCGGCACTTGCGTCTCATGGAAGATGTTCGGGAAGAAAACAATTGCCTGGGTGGCAGCCCCGGAGCAGCAACTTACTGTTACTGTTCATAAGCTATCTGTCTTTGCATGTTCTTGTATAGCAGTTCAAGCTACAGAGCTGTTGATTCCTGCCTGTACCGAGCATAAGTATCTCCACCTCTTGTTCCGCGAAGTGGGTTCTTCAGCTAGCAGCAGTAACACTCCTTGACACCTTTTGCAAGCAGTATTCCTGTGATTCTTTGTTGTACTTCTGACTCATAATTGTTGATGTCAGTGGTGGTGATCTATCTGCTGCCGCAGCATGTTTTGAACGAGGTCGAACCCTAAACCTTACTCCCTGATGGGCTGCAGCCTGAACCCCTTGATTGCCTCGCCCCTACATTTGCCGTGTGCCTCGCCCTGCTCCACAGTAGCTTCCCAAGCCGGCCGCCACAGGTCTGTGCTGTAGATCCTGGGCCACGGATACAGCAGAGCCCCCTGAAATCCTAGCAACGGATGCGTATGATCTTGTAGCCAGAACACAAGGATCCTACTTTCGGAACAGCCCGGCATGTCGCATCTGCAAAATCCATCAGTGCTCTCCAGCGGAAAGTCGTCCACTAAGGCAAGCTCCCTCCGTCATGAGAGTTGGGAGCCAATCGAGACATGTTGACGTGCGGGTGCGGCATTAGCCGCCAGTGCCTCGGATGTTTTGCTGCACGGCATAGGAACAGCGGCGAGCACCGAAAACATGAATCAAACTGCAGGCTCTTTCATTTCCAGATCTGCAGTCTCCGAAGTGGCACTTTAAGTCTACAAGTATCTGGGTGATGCATGCTAATGCTATGCTCATCTAGGCTCGCTAGGCCACTCTTGCTGAGGAGCTTGCGTCCAGTCAGCTGTAAAGATACAGCAGGAATGCAGTAAGTGTCCTGGTCACCACGGCTGTATGGGCGCTGGGAACACGACTGCAACCTGTGTTCAAAACAAAGACCTAAGGCCACCCAAGCAAAATACCTATGCAGTCACAAAGCCGAGCTGATTGATGCTCCCATGCGCTCGGGCATTTGGCGAGAGAAATACCAGAGATTAAACCCCGCAAACTTCGCGAAGGCGGGTCCGCATGCGCTAGCACCGACCCATTGCGACGATGGAACCAGAACCTCAGCTTAACAGTAACAGTAATAGTAATCGAAATAATGAGGTATGGTAAAGGGAAGGCATCGGACACAAAGCAAGTGTTTCTTGCTTGGCCTTTCATCAATGCAGCTCTAGCGACTCGGCGGACTCGTTGGCTTCACGAAGGTTGGTGGCACCCCGAAGGAAATAGGGCGGCTGCCATGCCTTAGGGTTGAGCTTTTAGGGTTAGGGTTCAGGACGGCTACGGACTTAAACTTCGTCTGTTTCAGGCTTGCGGGACATGAACGCTTCGGAAAAAGCTTCGACATGGAGACTAGAGCAGACACCACCGACTGACAAGTAATCCAACCTCATAGAAGCAGTGAACAAAAAACTAAAAGTACCTGTCATTACGACTCGACAAGCACCACTACTTGTACCTTGTACCATGAATATGCTCTCAAGATCGCGGCAGCCCGGCACACACTCGACTCCACAACTTCTCGATCTGAATTCACCCCTCGCACCCCCTCGGTGCAGCGTTGCCTGCGGAGTCGCACCCCTTACATCCATCGTTGCCGGTTCTGAAGTCAGGCGTGTCTGACAAGCAGCATACTCTGGTTTCGGCACTCAGGTTCAGGGCTTTCATGCCGGGAAAGGAATCCTGGAATGAGAACCTCAGGCACGCCCCAGTTGTAGCTCGCTCTTCTTCCCTCAATGTAGTACTGGGTGCAAGCTCAACTCAGCTTTGTCAATAAGGCCGATGAGGATATAAATACCAGGCGCTCGTTGCATCGCGGCGCGGACATCGGGCGGGGCCTCGTGGCCTCCGTCCTCCCAAGCAAGGTCTTTCATAGCTCCCTATGAAACACTCATGCAGTGCTTGGGCTTGCGGTGGAGGATGATCGTCGGGCATAGGAGCTGGCTCGCGCCTCGTGAGGCACGGCAGGTCAAGTCCACACATCGCATACACGATCGCCACCCCGAATAGAAGAGGAGTTCGGCGGACAGTGGTGCGGCTCACGTTTTGCCCCCTTCGTGTTCAGGTGGAGCGTGGCTTGGCTCGGCTGGGAAGGCATGCTGTACAAAGCCCTGAAGGGAGGTTCGGACCGAGATCGGCTTAGAGCTGTTAGGGCTCGGGCAGCTTCGATCCTCATCTGAGATCCCTAGCGATCTTGTGAACCTCCCCGCTCTTCACAATCCAGCCGTCAGGAGAAGCCCGGTGTGACACATCGGCCCACCCTGTACATTACGGCTCGCAGGAGCGCAAGCGAGATGGTTCAGAGTTTCGGGTTTATTCGTTTCTTTCTGATTTCGGGTTCGGGTTCAGGGAACTCGTTGCCAAATATCGCTGAGCTCTGCAAGCTGCTGTCGGTCTTTGCACGTACTGCATAAAACGAAACGAATTTTACAACGCTACAAAGGCCTTCTTTTCGCCTTCATTCAGGATTTGCAAACACTTCAGCAACCGCCCAGGGCTGCACTGCTCTGATACGACATCGAAAGCAAGCTTTCGGCCAGCCGTGGCGCGCCTCCCGCGAGCTCCGAGCGGGCACTCTGCACTGCCTGTCGGTACGTGCTATTCTCATCGCACACCTGGCGCAAAGCCTCCGCCAAAGAAGTGCTGCTGACTGTCTCCATGGGCTTGAAAAATGCTTGTCCCCACCCTCTCTGCTCCACCTTGCGGGCATTAGCCGGCTGATCGACTGCCTGTGGGATGGCTACCAAGGGCACTCCAGCCATCAGGCTCTCCTGGAGGCTGTTGAAACCGACGTGCGAGATGAAGGCGGATGTGTAGTTGTTCAGCATGTCCACCTGCGGGACAAACCCACGGATCAGAACGTTGCTGGGCACGTGCTCGAAGATCTCTGCTTCGCTGCTGCCCAGGAAGTCCAGGGCATCCGGCTGCTTTCCCACGGAGAGAAGGCAAAAGAAATCATCTCCGAGCTCCTCCATGGCAGCGAGGAGGGCTTTCCAGACATGCTGGCAAAAGGCCTTGCCAGTGGTCCCATGAGGAAGGTTGTAGCCACTGATACGGCCGAGGTCAATGCTCCAGCGGTCTGAAAGTGCCATGGTGCCCAAGGCAGCATAGATGATCTTCCTGCCCTTGGCCAGTTGATCCGAGAGCTCCGCGACGGGCAAGGAGTGGCCGAAGCTCTTCACGCGCGGGATGAAGCTGTCTGACCGTGCCGTGATCACATGCGGCGCAGAGCTGCTGACGAGGCAGCCGACTGCAGAAAAGCTGAACTCTTTGCGCAGCTCATCCGCCCAGTTCTGCTCTCCCACAGCTGGCAGCTCAGCGATCAAGTCCTCACAAGTGGTGACAAAGTTCGTCTTTGCATAGAACTGCCGGCGTGTCAGGAGGTTGCAGGACAAGTCCACGCCGAATTTGTCTTGGATAGCCTTTCCGTACGGCTTGCGGATGGCGCCGGCGCGCTCCAGCCGCCCCTCAGCCTCCAAAGTGGACATCAAGCCGGAAAGACTCCCCATACCGGGGTAGGTGACCAAGGAGGCGCACTGGATGCCAAGCTTCGTGGCTGCCAGGAGCCCAAGAGGCAGGAAGGGGTCGTAGAGAACCACTCTGACTCCAAGCTGTCGGCACCGCTCTATGACGTACTCCCCGCAAAGGAGGGCTTGGGCCAGGGGCCAAACGGCTCTCTCGTATTCTGCACGGTCGTCCTCGAGAATCTCTGGCACGGCGTGACACAATGGCTCGTCGATGCCGCACTTCTCCATCACGAAGTCTGATGGATCCTCTGGGAGGTAGCCTTCCACGACGGCCCCGGACTCAACGGCAGCCGCACGGATCGGAGCAACGGGCGGCAAGAAGTAGCTCACCTTGCAGCCGCGCTTGCAGAGCTCCTGCACCAGGGCAAAGGTCGGGTTCACGTGGCCGATCATTGCCACGTTGAAGATGGCGATCCTCGGGCCCTCTGCGGTGATCTGCTGATCCATCGGCTGGCTCATGGGTGCCATGATCCAAAAACTAGCAAGGCGAAAGTTGTTGCGTGCGAAAAGGAAGGAAGCTTTGAGAGCTGTGGCTTGATCCGTGGCCAAGCACAAAAATTGTCGTTCAGAGTTTGGGAGCTTCGGGCTCGCCATGCCATGCGGGAACAACGGGAAGAACCGTCTGACAGTGGCGAGGTCGTGAGAAGGAGTCATGAAACCGGGAGAGTCACACGAAACGGGCAACTCGCTTTGATGACAGGAAGGCCGTCAACTGATTCCAAACCTCGCAGGCCTTGACGTGCCACACATAAGGAGCCGTCGCATGCTGCGCGTGCGCTGCCTGACATGGTTCAGCCATCCCAAAAGATCCCAAAAGAAGCAGCAGCTCTGTATCGTGGATGCTCAACACGGGGAAGCACGGATGTCCTTGCTGGACTTCTTCCGCTTCTTCGCTGCTTGATGTCGATCCTTTGAAAACCAAGCCTTCGAGCGAGTTCATGGGAAGGCAACGCATTCAACAAAAGGTCTCGCAGGCGGCACACCTCACAGGCATAGCACGAGCAGTTACACATAGCCCCTAGACGAAATTGCAGAAACAAGTGGTTTCGCCTCGCCTTGCTGCCAAGCGAGATAAACTTTTCGGGCCTGGCAGTTCGCAGGACGGCCAAGTTCAAGCCAGTCGTGGAGTCCTTTTGCACTCCAAGCCGCCCGGCCTGTCGTCGCCAGTGTACTCAGCCCGCATCTGTGCGGTTGGAAAGTGCTCATGGAAGTGCTGGCAGCTTGCGCCTACCAAGTCGATTCCACGACCTTGGGGGGGGGGAATGAGATCATATGAGAAAACACTTCCGGGCAGGGCTGCCAGGATCACGAGCCCACACTGAGAACGCATGCCGCAGGAGATGTTCTATACTCTGTTATACATTCTTGAAATGTAATTAAGGCAGAAGATACTTCCGAACTGTGCACGTAATTGCAAGGAAATCCTGCACAAGGTTGGCTGCAGAACCGGAAACCTGCGTCAGCGATGATGAATGGCCGACCCAGGCGGATGCGCGCATCAAAGTCCTCCGCTGTTACCTGCCCAGTGCGAATATTGTGCACATCTGAATCCGCTGTCGCAAGAATCCCCAAACCCTGTTGAACCAGGAGAGCTTGCGATATGCCTGGAAGTGAGACGACACACCCAACCCTGAACCCCGAAAGCCTAAACCGTTTCCCTGAGGGCTGGTCGTGGCCGATCGGAGTTCGGCTTTTCCAGCTGCTCCGCCCAAGCTCTCGACTCTACAGCAGTCTTCCCTGGATATGATGCGTAGTGGGGCTTCAGGCCTTGAAGATAGCACATTATGTACACGCAAATATGTATGTATGTATGTATGCCTGCATGCATTCATGTGTGCAGATGTATGCATGCGTATGAATGTTTGCCTACCTACCTAACGACGAACCTGCTTACCACATGTACCCGACTATAACTTTATGCATGCAATGTATGTATGACGGAATATGTGTATCCGTGCCACAAAATAGTTTTGCCTGCCTGTGCGCATGGATACATGATCCTCATGTGTGAATACGTGAGAGCACCTCCCGCACGCGCTCCAGCGGCTGCGGGAAGTTGTCTTTCCTCTCTTCTTCAATAACCGGGCCCAAAATAGTTCATACTCTCGAAGATAGGTCAAATACACAGACATGTAGACATATATGTATATGCATATATATATATATATATATATATTATATGGCCAAAAGATGCCAAAAGGTGGCAAATTCTCCTATTTGCTATCCAAGCTTCTCCAGGCCGAAGAAGTCAGCAGTGCTGGGCTCGGCAAGTGGAGCCAAGTGAGGCAGCTGCGGGAAGAGCGACGGGGACAACACCTCAACAGTAGGCGATGATAGAGGAGGCTATGTTCCGTTGAATTATATTGCATTATACGTTTATCTCACAAGAGACGTAGAATCTGCAATATTGTATACTATGCCAGTCTATTCTACGATGTTACGTTAAGTGGTACTACGTTTTCTTGCATGGTATAACATGCATTGTTCTACATTCTCATGCAAACTACGCTGGTTACTGTCGTATAGACTGATGTATATAACAATGTACACATCAGATAATATGCTCTACTACGTTATAATAACAGAACCCTTGTCTTGCTTAGTTTCCAGCCGTGTTGCGATCTGTCTGGGCTGGTACAGTTCATGTCTTGACTTGTCCTAGTTCGACCATCAACCTGTTGTGAAGCCTTGACTCGAAACCCTCAAGCCTGCAAGCCCGACACTAGACACTAGACCACACTTCACTGTACTGTACGATACCAGAGTATACATCACTTGTTCTACTGTATCTATAACACAATATGTACTTATATACTGAAATTTGATAAAATGTAAGGTCAGCATGGAAGTAGTGATCTTGTCGTTCAGTTCGAGGTTGTCCCTCATGATAGAAGTAGGCGAGCTCAGGCAGTGTTGCAGGGTTGACACCTAAGTCGCATCCTGGTTTCCACCATGCTTCTTCAATTGGCCCCGGCCCGTGACTGAAAGATACAACATAATGCGAAACTATATCATATGGTATATAAGGTTTAACTGTTGTACGTATAAACAGTATGGAAAATATGTTCAATAGGTACCATATAGCTTTTAAGCTGCAATACGAATGAAAATGGATAGTTTGATGCATAATACCGTATGTCATGTTCTTTTCACCATACAAACATACATACATATATGACATATATGTATGTGTGTATACATACATATATATATATATGTATGTATACACATATCATGCTTTGCGTTCTGGCACTTTGAGAGAACAGAACTGAAGCAAATAAAGGAATATTCAGTGGACAGCTCGCCTTGGCAGCTACGCAAGCTTGGTGCAGCGTGACGGCCAGAACTGAATGTTGAAGCGCCATGGCGGCTCCAAACTCCACGGAGGCATCGCGCGCTACACGCACTGTAGCTGAAGCAGCTCAGCTCACTTGTAAAAAGCAGTTCCATCCAACAGACTGGCTCAGTCACCCTGCTTCCTCCCTGGTGGGCAGCATTCTGCATCATGACTGTGAAAGTGATTCACTACGGTCACTGACCACTTCAAGGACACATGCCGATGGCGCTGCAGCTTGCAAATGCTTGTTGTAACCTTGCCATCGAGTCCTTCGGGCGGGCATGCCACATGCAGCGGAAAAGCACTAAGGGTCAAGGCTGCTGGACTTGGATGCTGCACGGACTTGTTTTCTTGCCTCTTCGAGCTCTCGCCCGGTGGTGGGGCTAGGCTCGTCGGGAAAGGGTTCCAGGGGTGCGCACTCTTACTTCCTGCCGATTAACGGGACCTGCTGCCTCGAAGAAGCAGTTCTGGAATCTATATCTAGCATCTAGAAAGTTGCAGACGTTGCAGACATGACCACTGGCAATAGTAGTCTTCCAGGCACTCGGCATGCTGCCTGGAGAAACTTCCGCAGTGGATCGCCAAAATGTCGGGAAAATGTCAGGCAAAGCGGAGCCTGCCCACAATCTAGCTTAATTGCTCTGAATTATGCCATTTGCCTTTTGCTTCAGAGGCCACGCCTCTGAAAGCGGGCAAACGCTGGAATGTCGCACTGCCACGGCCAGCTCAGGCTCTCAGATCGCACCAAACCATGGAGCCTCACGACCGCAATGCTTGTCCCCCGGCTCGGCTGTCATATCAGTGAGTGATCAATGCGGACCGATAGCTATTCGCAGAGTGGCCCCTGCCTGGCTTCAACTCCTGGCTGACCGGCTTGGAGTACTTGGCCTTGCACGGCTGCGCAGACAAAATCGCTCAACTTGAGTAGCGTCCGGCTTCTCTCGGTGTCGTGTCGGAAAGCAGCTTAAGAAACCGACAGCTCTTCTGAACACCCAGGCATAAAGCCTCGGCACCAGGTCACAAACCCCTCATGCTGACTCCAGCACTCAGGATTTAAGCCAAGGATGAGATGGGCAGGTTGGAGGCTTCGTGGCAAGCTAGGAAGTCGGGGCTCTCATAGTAGCAACCCTTGCAGATGCACGTTGTCGTAGCCTGTGGGCTGTTATGACGGCATCGGAAAAGCCCATCGTCATGCGACAAGCACAAGCCAGACCCTGAGGTGAGCACGTGGTGTAGCCGATTTTTCTCACGTCCTCGGGACGGCCTGATGCTTTCGGGAAATCCAAGGGTTACCAAACAAAGCGACGAGCGCAAACCCGCAGTACACATCAGTACACCGTCTTGGCTTGATCTGACCATCACTGAAGTCCACAATCTGAAGTATGCTCCATGGGAAGTTCAGCAAGATTGAGACCCGCACTCGTATGCAGGAGAGTCTTCTGTGCCCATGAGCTCCGGGAGTCCGGCAACGGTGCTTATTGAAGGTGTGCGACAGGCTCTTTACGTGCCTTTTCATCACCCAACCTGAGTCGACGCCAGTATGATCTGGAAGTCTGGAACTGCCCTTTTCGCACATCTCACTAGTGAGAAGAATTTGCAGACTTGAATACCCCAAACACTACGCCACACACTGCCATGCTGGGGAGGAAACGGTCATTCACACGTCGGCCAAGCAGGAAGCAGTCGACGAGGTAGGCCCGTCCCACCAGCTTCGAAGAGCCAACCTCCGTAGCAATATAACATAGTAGATACGACGGTGATATACGGTGATAACAATGTACATATACATCTACACTGAATCTACACATACATATACAGATTGACAGACGGACAGACAGATAGACAGACAAACGGACAGATAGATACAGAGTACGCATTGCGGTCTGGAACAGATCCGGAACTGATTGGGTCAGAAACTTGCAGCAGACTGCGGGTGGCTCGTAGTTCTGGATTTACGATGAATGAAGGGCCTGGACGAGGTCTTGCATGCTTTTCTCAGACTCTGCTGGATCCCTGACTGCTTCAGACCCTTCTTCCAGACACATTAACTCGCAGCTCTCTCTGCAAGTTTCATGAAACTCTGAATCTCAGCTGCCAGTCATCATTGATTCTTCATTCCGTCGACTTCTCCTGACGGTCCAGGCTTATCACCAGCGGCCGTCGTCGCAGTCGCCTGCCTCGATGTGCTTGCTCCGCCGCTCTCAGCGCCTCTTGGCCGTCGGCCTGGATCTTGTTTTCGGTCAGATCCAGCCTTCTGGGCACGGTCATGATGGGCACGGCCTCCGCCAACGCCTTGGCCCCGACATCCCCGATCTGGTTGCATGCCAGCCGAAGAGTTTCCAGCGCACCGTGGCCTTTGCAGTGCTGTGCGAGGGCCTTGGCCCCTTCGTCCGTGAGCTTGGAATCAGACATCCACAAGATTCGGAGCGCCCGCATGGTGGACAGCTCCAAGGCCTCTGCAAAAGCATCCCCGCACGGAATCTTGCACAGTATCAGGAAATCCAGGGCTCGGTGACCCCGGACGCCTTCTGCCAGCGCCTTGGCACAGCCGGGCTCCAGCGGATTGTCGCCTAGATCGAGCGTCTTCAATGACGTCAGTGGAGCGGCCAGCGCATGGATGTTTGTGATCTTATTCCCTGATAAAACCATTCTCTCCAGTAGTGGCATGTCTGCGACGGCCTTCACGATCGCCTCCGCGCCCTCGCTGGTGAGTGCAATGCGCATAAGATTTAGGTAGCGAAGGGCTGTGCAGAGCCCAAGGATCCCGGCCAGCTCCTGGAAGTCGATTTTCAAGTCCTCGAGCGTGACCACACTCATCCAGGGGAACTTCCGCATGAAAAGCCGAAGCTGCTCCTCGCTCACTGCATGCTGGAAAATTTGTAGCCAGTTTGTGCTCAAAGCCTTGATGAACGAGTTCAGCCTCATATCACCTCTCATGCTGGCAAGGTCTGGGCTGTCCGAGAACATCGTGTAGAAGACGCTCAGGAGGTCGCTTTGCCTGCTGACGAGAACGAAGAAGGCGTGGTCGTTGTCGAAATCTCCCTCCAGAAAGAGCCGCTTCATCAGGAGGAGGTTGCTGTCCGCCGCCGCGGCGTCGATCTGTGTGGCATACCAGGGCGCCACCTTCGGGCGTAGGATTGGGCAAAGAAAAAAAGAGCCGAAAACCTGTACCAGCGGGATCGCCAAATTGAGCAAGGCCACCAGGAGGCTGCCCCCTTCCAGAAGCAAATAGGCGATCGCCATCAAGGCCTGCGGGGCATTCTCGATCACCAGCAGCCACCGTTTTGTGGGCGTGACTTGGGCGTAAGCCATGGGCAGCAGCTTGTTTTTGCCTTGCTGGACACAGCTGGCGCAGGAGGAGGGCCTCTGCTGGGCATCTTGGGTCCCGTCTGTTTGGGTGGAGGCTCCGCTGTGCGGCTGTTTCGCCTGAGTTGGCGCCAGAAATATCGCCAAGTAGTTTTTCCCGAGCTCTGCCAGGAACCTGGCTCGGCGCAGCAAGACCAGGTGAAAGGCGATCAGGTACAGCCAAGCCACGACGCCCAATGATTGCGTGAGTCCTCTTTGGGATTGCAGGCAGAGTCCTCCGAAGAGGCTATCCTTGAGCGTGTCGAAGCTGTCGGATAAAAAGGGAAGCATTCCAGTGACTGTGCCCTCGGCGAACGCCGTCACGCCGTACTGTCGCTGCTCAGGCAGCTGCCACGCTGCCATGCAGGCTTGAGCAAGCTGCCACATGCAGGCTAGGCCGCACAGCGTCGCATATCCTTCCCAACTGAGCCCTGTCTCTTTGGAGAGGTGGCCGTAGGCCATGCTTACAGCAGTGGCAGCCATGCAAGCAGCACAGGTGGCCAGAAAGGCCGCTTGCACGGCCCGCTTCTGATTCAATTTGTTGCCCGGTGACTTGCCACTTTCTGCATCAGCACCGGTGGGTGGCACCTGCGTGTCGATGCCATCTGTCCCGAGGCCATCTGGTGCATCCTGCGGCTGCCCGTGCAAAGTGGCCGGGACGTCGCCGCTCCTAAGGAGGGCCTCCGGGCTCTTCTTCCACTTCCTTCGGAAGGCCTGGCAGGCCTTGGGCCCATAGGTCAGGATCAGCGTGCCTAACACCAATGTTCCCATGTACGTGGCAACCATCGTCAGCACCCAAAATGTCGTCCGCTCATCCACCAGCTCCAGGATGGCTCCGGCCATGCCGTCTGTGCCGTTTGGCAGCGTGGCATCCTCCATGGCCCGAGGCAAACGCTTGTAAGGTCACCTACATCCCGCATGCACCGGCCTAGTTTCGTCTGCCTCTGCTGGGACTACTGCTTATCGAGACATGTTGACGTGGGGGTGCGGCATTAGCCGCCAGTGCCACGGATGTTTTGCTGGGCGGCATAGGAACAGCGGCGAGCACCGAGAACATGGATCAAACTGCGGGCTCTTTCATTTCCAGATCTGCAGTCTCCGAGGTGACAATTTAAGCCTACAAGTATCTGGCTGATGCATGCCAATGCTATGCTCATCTAGGCTTGCTGGGCCACTCTTGCTGAGGAGCTTGCATCCAGTCAGCTGCAAAGATACAGCAGGGATGCAGCAAGTGTCCTGGTCACCACGGCTGTATAGGCTCTGGCCTATGCAGTCACCAAGCCGAGCTGATTGATGCTCCCATGCGCTCGGGCATTTGGCGAGAGAAATACCAGAGATTAAACCCCGCAAACTTCGCGAAGGCGGGTCCGCATGCGCTAGCACCGACCCATTGCGACGATGGAACCAGAACCTCAGCTTAACAGTAACAGTAATAGTAATCGTAATAATGAGCTATGGTAAAGGGAAGGCATCGGACAGAAAGCAAGTGTTTCTTTCTTGGCCTTTCATCAATGCAGCTCTAGCGACTCGGCGGACTCGTTGGCTTCACGAAGGTTGGTGGCACCCCGAAGGAAATAGGGCGGCTGCCATGCCTTAGGGTTGAGCTTTTAGGGTTAGGGTTCAGGACGGCCACGGACTTAAACTTCGTCTGTTTCAGGCTTGCGGGACATGAACGCTTCGGAAAAAAGCTTCGACATGGAGACTAGAGCAGACACCACCGACTGACAAGTAATCCAACCTCATAGAAGCAGTGAACAAAAAAACTAAAAGTACCGGTCATTACGACTCGACAAACACCACTACTTGTACCTTGTACCATGAATATGCTCTCAAGATCGTGGCAGCCCGGCGCACACTCGACTCCACACTTTCTCTGTCTGAAATTTACCCCTCGCACCCCCTCGGTGCAATGTTGCCTGCGGAGTCGCACCCCTTACATCCATCGTTGCCTGTTCTGAAGTCAGGCGTGTCTGACAAGCAGCATACTCTGGTTTCGGCACTCAGGTTCAGGGCTTTCATGCCGGGAAAGGAATCCTGGAATGAGAACCTCAGGCACCCCCCAGTTGTAGCTCGCTCTTCTTCCCTCAATGTAGTACTGGGTGCAAGCTCAACTTGGCTTTGTCAATAAGGCCGATGAGAATGTAAATACCAGGCGCTCGTTGCACCGCCGCGCGAACATCTGGCGGGGCCTCGTGGCCTCCGTCCTCCCAAGCAAGGTCTTCCATAGCTCCCTATGAAACACTCATGCAGTGCTTGGGCTTGCGGTGGAGGATGATTGTCGGGCATACGTGTGATGGCTCGCGCCTCGTGAGGCTCGGCAGGTCAGGTCCACACATCGGATCGCCACACCGAAAAGAAGAGGAGTGCGGCGGACAGTGGTGCGGCTCACGTTTTGCCCCCTTCGTGTTCAGGTGGAGCGTGGCTTGGCTCGGCTGGGAAGGCATGCTGTACAAAGCCCTGAAGGGAGGTTCGGACCGAGATCGGCTTAGAGCTGTTAGGGCTCGGGCAGCTTCGATCCTCATCTGAGATCCCTAGCGATCTTGTGAACCTCCCCGCTCTTCACAATCCAGCCGTCAGGAGAAGCCCGGTGTGACACATCGGCCCACCCTGTACATTACGGCTCGCAGGAGCGCAAGCGAGATGGTTCAGAGTTTCGGGTTTCTGGCTTTCTTTCTGATTTCGGGTTCGGGTTCAGGGAACTCGTTGCCAAATATCGCTGAGCTCTGCAAGCTGCTGTCGGTCTTTGCACGTACTGCATAAAACGAAACGAATTTTACAACGCTACAAAGGCCTTCTTTTCGCCTTCATTCAGGATTTGCAAACACTTCAGCAACCGCCCAGGGCTGCACTGCTCTGATACGACATCGAAAGCAAGCTTTCGGCCAGCCGTGGCGCGCCTCCCGCGAGCTCCGAGCGGGCACTCTGCACTGCCTGTCGGTACGTGCTATTCTCATCGCACACCTGGCGCAAAGCCTCCGCCAAAGAAGTGCTGCTGACTGTCTCCATGGGCTTGAAAAATGCTTGTCCCCACCCTCTCTGCTCCACCTTGCGGGCGTTAGCCGGCTGATCGACTGCCTGTGGGATGGCTACCAGGGGCACTCCAGCCATCAGGCTCTCCTGGAGGCTGTTGAAACCGACGTGCGAGATGAAGGCGGATGTGTAGTTGTTCAGCATGTCCACCTGCGGGACAAACCCACGGATCAGAACGTTGCTAGGCACGTGCTCGAAGATCTCTGCTTCGCTGCTGCCCAGGAAGTCCAGGGCATCCGGCTGCTTTCCCACGGAGAGAAGGCAAAAGAAATCATCTCCTAGCTCCTCCATGGCAGCTAGGAGGGCTTTCCAGACATGCTGGCAGAAGGCCTTGCCAGTGGTCCCATGAGGAAGGTTGTAGCCACTGATACGGCCGAGGTCAATGCTCCAGCGGTCTGAAAGTGCCATGGTGCCCAAGGCGGCATAGATGATCTTCCTGCCCTTGGCCAATTGATCCGAGAGCTCCGCGACGGGCAAGGAATGGCCGAAGCTCTTCACGCGCGGGATGAAGCTGTCTGACCGTGCTGTGATCACATGCGGCGCAGAGCTGCTGACGAGGCAGCCGACCGCAGAAAAGCTGAACTCTTTGCGCAGCTCATCCGCCCAGTTCTGCTCTCCGAGAGCTGGCAGCTCAGCGATCAAGTCCTCACAAGTGGTGACAAAGTTCGTCTTTGCATAGAACTGCCGGCGTGTCAGGAGGTTGCAGGACAAGTCCACGCCGAATTTGTCTTGGATAGCCTTTCCGTACGGCTTGCGGATGGCGCCGGCGCGCTCCAGCCGCCCCTCAGCCTCCAAGGTGGACATCAAGCCGGAAAGACTCCCCATACCGGGGTAGGTGACCAAGGAGGCGCACTGGATGCCAAGCTTCGTGGCTGCCAGGAGCCCAAGAGGCAGGAAGGGGTCGTAGAGAACCACGCTGACTCCCAGCTGTCGGCACCGCTCGATGACGTACTCCCCGCAAAGGAGGGCTTGGGCCAGGGGCCAAACGGCCCTCTCGTATTCTGCACGGTCGTCGTCGAGAATCTCTGGCACGGCGTGACACAACGGCTCGTCGATGCCGCACTTCTCCATCACGAAGTCTGATGGATCCTCCGGGAGGTAGCCTTCCACGACGGCCCCGGACTCAACGGCAGCCGCACGGATCGGAGCAACGGGCGGCAAGAAGTAGCTGACCTTGCAGCCGCGCTTGCAGAGCTCCTGCACCAGGGCGAAGGTGGGGTTCACGTGGCCGATCATTGCCACGTTGAAGATGGCGATCCTCGGGCCCTCTGCGGTGATCTGCTGGTCCATCGGCTGGCTCATGGGTGCCATGATCCAAAAGCTACCAAGGCGAAAGTTGTTGCGTGCGAAAAGGAAGGAAGCTTTGAGAGCTGTGGCTTGATCCGCGGCCAAGCACAAAGATTGTCGTTCAGAGTTTGGGAGCTTCGGGCTCGCCATGCCGCGCGTGAACAACCGGAAGAACCGTCTGATAGTGGCGAGGTCATGAGAAGGAGTCATGAAACCCAAGGAGTAAGTAAAAACAAAGCCTGGAGTTCAACTCACACTTAACGCAAAACAAAAGCTTTGCTGACAGGAAGACCGCCTACTGATTCCAAACCTTTCAGGCCTTGACGTGCCACACATAAGGAGCCGTCGCGTGCTGCGCGTGCGCTGCCTGACATGGCTCAGACATCCCAGAAGAAACAGCAGCTCTGCACCGTGGATGCTCAATACGGGGAAGCACGGATGTCCTTGCTGGACTTCTTCCGCTTCTTCGCTGCTTGGTGTCGATCCTTTGAAAACCAAGCCTTCGAGCGAGTTCATGGGAAGGCAACGCATTCAACAAAAGGTCTCGCAGGCGGCAAACCTCACCTGCATAGCATGAGCAGTCACACGTAGCCCGTAAACGAAATTACAGAAATAAGTGGCTTCGCCTCGCCTTGCTGCCAAGCGAGATAAACTTTTCGGGCCTGGCAACATCAGTTCGCAGGACAGCCAAGTTCAAGCCAGTCGTGGAGTCCTTTTGCACTCCAAAGCCGCCCGGCCTGTCGTCGCCAGTGTACTCAGCCCGCATCTGTGCGGTTGGAAAGTGCTCATGGAAGTGCTGGCAGCTTGCGCCTACCAAGTCGATTCCACGACCTCAGGCCCGGGTGTATAAGAACACATGAGAAAACTCTTCCGGGGAAGGGCTGCCAGGATCACGAGCCCGCACAGAGAACACATGCCGTAGGAGACGTTCTATACTCTGTTATATCATTCTGAAATGTAGACGTGTGGTGTATCGCATCGCAGCATAATTATAAGGCAGAAGATACTTCAGAACTGCGCACGTAATTCCAAGGAAACCCTGCAAAAGATTGGCTGCAGAACCGGAAACCTGCGTCAGCGATGATGAATGGCCGACCCAGGCGGATGCGCACATCAAAGTCCTCCGCTGTTACCTGCCCAGTGCGAATATTCTGCACATCTGAATCCGCTGTCGCAAGAATCCCCAAACCCTGTTGAACCAGGAGAGCTTGCGATATGCCTGGAAGCGAGACGACACACCCAACCCTAAACCTGAACCCCTTTTCAGCATGGGCTTGGATTGTGTGCCAGCGAACACTCCTCAACAGCAGGGCCTTCTCGTTTGACGAGGGATGCAAACGCGGGAGTGAGAGAAACACGACGATCTCCTGAACTATCTTCGAAGTACTACCTGAACGAGCTTCCGTACTACACATCCGGAATGGGGCAACGTAGAGGCTGCAAGTGCTTGAACTGCTCATCCGGCAGAAACTCACAAAGCAACGACTTTCCATGAGTGACCCACATGTGGCCTTGTAGAGTCGGCATGATCGCAGCAAGTTAACCCCTAAAGCCAAAACCGCTTCCCAAAGGCTGGTCATGGCCGATCGGCGTGCTGCTTTCCAGCTGCCCCGCCCACGCTCTCGACTCTACAGCAGTCTTTCCTGTGGGCGTCAGGCCTTCGAGATAGTACCATATGTGCACACAAATATGTCTGTATGTATGCCTGCATGCATGCATGCGCGCATATGTATGCATGCGTATGACTGTTTGCCGACCTACCTAACGACGAACCTACTCACCTGATCTACACGACTCTAACTTTATGCATGCATGTCTGATTATGTATGTATGACGGAATGTGTGTATCCGTGCCACAAAATAGTTTTGCCTGCCTGTGCATGATCCTCTCTGCATGTGTGAATACGTGCGAGCACCTCCCGCACGCGCTCCAGCGGCTGCGGGAAGTTGTCTTTCCTCTTCTTCAATAACCGGGCCCAAAAAAGTTCATACTTTCGAAGATAGATCCAACACACAGAGATGTACACATATATATATATATATATGTATATGTATGTATATGTATATGTATATGTATATATGGCCAAAAAGTTTAAGTTCTCTTATTTGCTATCCAAGTTTCTCCAGGCCGAAGAAGTCAGCAGTGCTGGGCTCGGCAAGTGGAGCCAAGTGAGGCAGCTGCGGGAAGAGCGACGGGGACAACGCCTCAACAGTAGGCGATGTTAGAGGAGATTATGTTGCGTTGAGTTATATTGCATTATGTTTTGTCTCACATGAGACGTAGAATCTACAATATTGTATATTATGCCAGTCTGTTCGATGATGTTATGTTAAGCGGTATTATGTTTTCTTGTATGGTATAACTAACATGCATAGTCTAAATTATCATGTATACTATGTTGGCTGCTGTCGTATAGAATGATGTATATAACGATGTACACATCCGATAATATGTTCTACTACGTAATAATGACAGAACCCTTGTCTTGCTTACTTCCTAGCGGTTTTGAGATCTGTCTGGGCTGGGAAAGTTTAGGTCTTGACTCGTCCTAGTTCGACCATCAACCTGTTGTGAAGCCTTGACAGCCTGGTGCGAGTGTGAGAGTCGAAACCCGCAATCCGGCAAGCCCGACACTAGACTAGACCACACTTCACTCTACTGTACGATACCAAAGTACACATCACTGAATATTCTACTGTATCTCTAACACAGTATGTATAACACAGTGAGACTTAATACGATGTAAAGATGAGCATGGAAGCAGTGATCTTGTCGTTCAGTTCGAGGTTGTCCCTGATGATAGAATTAGGCGAGCTCAGGCAGTGTTGCAGGGTTGACGCCTAAGTCGCATCCTGGTTTCCAGTTCTTTCAGCTTCTGGCGTCACCACCATGCTTCTTGAAAAGCCCGTGGCTCAAAGATACAACATACTGCGATATACTCTACTATATAATATGTACACAACATTTAACAAATGTATGTAAACATAATATGGAACATATGTTCAATGTCTACCATGTAGTCTTTAATCTGCAATATAAATGAAATGAACAGTTTGATGCATAATACAATATGTCATGTTCTTTTCCATATACGTACATACATACATACATATACATATATATATATATGTGTGTATCATGCCTTGCGTTCTGGCACTTTCAGAGAGCAGAACTGAAGCAAATGAAGGAATATTCAGTGGGCAGCTCGCCTTGGCAGCTACGCAAGCTTGGTGCAGCGTGACGGCCAGAACTGAATGCCGAAGCGCCATGGCGGTTCCAAACTCCACGGAGGCATCGCGGGGTACACGCGCTGTAGCTGGAAGTGGCTCAGAACACTTTTAAATAGTGGCAGGCACCGTTACAGTTCCATCCAACAGACTGGCTCAGTCACCCTGCTTCCTCCTTGGTGGGCAGCATTGCCAGGGCTGCATCATGACTGTGAGAATTGATTCACTACGGCCACTGATCACTTCAAGGACACATGCCGATGGCGCTGCAGCTTGCAAATGTTTGTTGTAACCTTGCCATGGAGTCCTTCGGGCCGGCATGCCACGTGCAGCGGAAAAGTACTAAGGGTCAAGGCTGATGGACTTGGATGCTGCACGGACTTGCTTTCTTGCCTCTTCGAGTTTCTCCCGGTGGTGGGGCTAGGCTCGTCGGGAAAGGGTTCCAGGGGCGCGCACTCATACATTCCTTGTCGTGCCGATTAACGGACCTGCTGCCTCGACGAAGCAGTTCTGGAATCTATATCTAGAATCTCGAAAGTTGCGGACGTTGCAGGCATAGCCACTGGCAAGAGTAGAAGTCTTCCAGGCGCACTGCATGGTGCCTGGAGAAACTTCCGCAGTGGATCGCCAAAATGTCGGGAAAATGTCAGGCAAAGAGGAGCCTGCCCACAATCTAGCTTAATTGCTCTGAATTATGCCATTTGCCTTTTGCTTCAGAGGCAATGCCTCTGAAAGCGGGCAAACGCCGGAATGTCGCACTGCCACGGCCAGCTCAGGCTCTCAGATCGCACCAAACCATAGAGCCTCACGACCGCAATGCTTGTCCCCCGGCTGGGCCATCGCATCAGTGATCAACGTGGATAGCTACTCGCAGAGTCAGAGGTCGTCATGTCTGGCCCCTGCCTGGCTTCAACTCCTGGCTGACCGGCTTGGAGTACTTGGCCTTGCACGGCTGCGCAGACAAAATCGCTCATAGGTCACTCAACTTGAGTAGCGTCCGGCTTCTTCTGGTGTCGGAAAGCAGCTTAAGAAACCGACAGCTCTTCTGAACACCCAGGCATAGAGCCTCGGCACCAGGTCACAAACCCCTCATGCGGGGACCCCAGGACTCAGGATTCAAGCCAAGGATGAGATGGGCAGCTTGAAGGCTTCGTGGCAAGCTAGGAAGCCGGGGCTCTCATAGTAGCAGCCCTTGAAGATCTAGTTTTCGCAGCCTGTGGGATCTCTGCGACCCTGTTATGACGGCATCGGAAAAGCCCATCGTCATGCGACAAGCACAAGCCAGACCCTGAGGTGAGCACGTGGTGTAGCCGATTTTTCTCACGTCCTCGGGACGGCCTGATGCTTTCAGTGGGAATAGAGCACGAAGCACTTCCCAGAATCCAGGGGTTACCAAGGGCAAACCCGCAGTGCACCGTCTTGGCTTGCGTCGACCATCACCGAAGTCCAGCCGAAGTCGGCTCAATCCGAAGTCCGACTAGAAGCTCCTGGCCTATGCTCTATGGGATGTTCAGCAAGATTCAGACCCGAACTCGTATGCAGGAGAGTCTTCTGTGCCCATGAGCTCCGAGACTCCGGCAACGGTGCTTCTTGAAGGTGTGTGACAGGCTCTTTACGTGCCTTTTCATCACCCAACCTGAGTCGACGCCAGTATGATCTGGAACTGTCCTTTTAGGACATCTCACTAGTGAGAAGACTTTGTAGACCAAATTAAATACCCCAAACACTACGCCACACACTGCCATGCTGGGGAGGAAACGGTCATTCACGCGTCGGCCAAGCAGGAAGCAGTCGACGAGGTCGGCCCGTCCCACCAACTTCGAAGAGCCAACCTCCATAGCAATATAACGGTGATATACGGTGATAACAATGTCCATATCAGATAGACAGACGGACAGACAGACAGACGGACAGATAGATAGATAGTACGCATTGCTGCATGAAGGGCCTGGACGAGGTCTTGCATGTTTTCTCAGACTCTGCTGGGTCCCTGACTGCTTCAGCCCCTTCTTCCAGACAACTAACATTAACTCGCAGCGATCTCTGCAAGTTTCATGAAACACACTGACTCTCAGTCATCATTGGTTCTTCATTCCGTCGACTTCTCCTGACCGCCCATTAGTATCTGCAGCCGCCGTCGTCGCAGTCGCCTGCCTCGATGTGCTCGCTCCGCCGCTCTCAGCGCCTCTTGGCCGTCGGCCCAGATCTTGTTGTCGTTCAGCTCCATCCCTCTGAGCGCGGTCATGGTGGGCACGGTCTCCGCCAACGCCTGGGCCCCGACATCCCCGATCTCGTTGCGTTCCAACCAAAAAAATAACAGCGCACCATGGCCCTTGCAGTGCTGTGCGAGGGCCTTGGCCCCTTCGTCCGTGAGCTTGGAACCAGCCAAACGCAATGATCGAAGTACCCGCATGGTCGACAGCTCCAAGGCCTCCGCGAAGGCGTCCCCGCACGGAATGTCACAGAGACACAGAAACACCAGGGCTCGGTGACCTCGGAGGCCTTCTGCCAGCGCCTTGGCACCGCCGGGCTCCAGCGGATTGTCGCTTAGATCGAGCCTCTTCAATGACGTCATGCGCTTCACTGCAGCGGCCAGCGCCTCGATGTTTGCGATCTTGTTGCTGCGTAAAACCAGGCTCTCCAGTGGCATGTCGGCGACGGCCTTCACGATCGCCTCCGCTCCCTCGCGGGTGAGCGCAATGCCTTTAAGGGATAGGAAGCGCAGGTCTGTGCAGAGCCCAAGGACCCCGGCCAGCTCCCGGCCGCCGCTTTTCAAGTCCATGAGCGCGACCCCACTCAGCCAGGGGAACTTCTGCATGAAAAGCCGAAGCTGCTCCTCGCTCACTGAACCATCTAGATGATCTCGCAACGCTAGCCTGTTTATGCTCAATGCCAGGATGTAGGACTTCAGGTTGTGATCAGGTCTCGTCATGCTGGCGGCAAGGTCTGGGCTGTCCGGGAACATCTTGCAGAAGACGCTCAGGAGGTCGCTTTGCTTGGTGACCAGAACGAAGAAGCCGCGGTCGTTGTGGAAATCTGCCTCCAGAAAGAGCCGCTTCATCAGGAGGAGGTTGCTGTCCGCCGCCGCGGCATCGAGCTGTGTTGCATACCAGGGTGCCACCATCGGGCGCAGGATTGGGCGAAGAACAAAAGAGCCGAGAACCTGTACCAGCGGGATCGCCAGATTGAGCATGGCCACCAGGAGGCCGCCCCCTTCCAGATGCAAATAGGTGATCGCCATCAAGGCCTGCGGGGCATTCTCGATCACCAGCAGCCACTGTTTTGTAGGCGCGACTTGAGCGTAAGCCATGGGCAGCAGTATGTTTTTGGCTTTCTGGACACAGCTGGCGCAGGAGGAGGGCCTCTGCTGGGCATCTTGGGTCCCGTCTGTTTGGGTGGAGGCTCCGCTCTGCGGCTTTTTCGCCTGAGTTGGCGCCAGAAATATTGCCAAGTAGTTTTTCCCGAGCTCTGCCAGGAACCTGGCTCGGCGCAGCAAAACCAGGTGAAAGGCGATCAGGTACAGCCAAGCCACGACGCCCAATGCTTGCGTGAGTCCGCTTTGGGATTGCAGGCAGAGTCCTCCGAAGAGGCTATCCTTGAGCGTGTCGAAGCTGTCGGATAAAAAGGGAAGCATTCCAGTGACTGTGCCCTCAGTGAACGCCGTCACGCCATATTGTCGCCGCTCGGGCAGCTGCCACGCTGCCATGCAGGCTTGAGCAAGCTGCCACATGCAGGCTAGGCCGCACAGCGTGGCATATCCTTCCCAACTGAGCCCTGTATCTTTGGAGAGGTGTCCGTTGGCCATGCTTAAAGCTGTGGCAGCCATGCAAGCAGCACAGGTGGCCAGAAAGGCCGCTTGCACGGCCCGCTTCTGATTCAATTTGTTGCCGGGCGACTTGCCACTTTCTGCATCAGTGCCGATGGGTGGCACGCGCGTGTCTATGTCTTCTGTCCCGAGGCCATCTGGTGCATCCTGCGGCTGCCCGTGCAAAGTGGCCGGGACGTCGCCGCTCCTAAGGAGGGCCTCCGGGCGCTTCTTCCACTTCATTCGGAAGGCCTGGCAGGCCTTGGGCCCATAGCTTAGGATCAGGGTGCCTAACACCAACGTTCCCACGTATGTGGCAAGCATCGTCAGCACCCAAAATGTCGTCCGCTCATCCACCCGCTCCAGGATGGCTCCGGCCATGCCGTCTGTGCCGTTGGTGCCGTTTGGCTCCATGGCACGAGGCACTCACGTTGTAAGGTCACTACATCCCGCATGCACCGGCCTAGCTTCATCTGCCTCTACTGGGACTACTGCTTTTCCTCTGCTGTCACGGCAGAACAAAGGCGCACGGCGGCGTATATGTTGTACGGGCTCCGGTGAAAGCCTCCAAGTCTATCCAGCTTCATCACATGCGGCGCTTGGAGGGCCAAAGTCTGATACCTGTTCTATCTGTTCTGCGCCCATCGCCACTCAATATCATGACCCTCAACCTAGTCATACCTAGTCCGCATGCGCCTGGCACTTCTTGAGCTCCCGTATGCTTGAGCCAGAATGGCACCGAGAAGATGCTTCAAGCAAGTTGACAGGACAACCGGCCAGTCTCAACTTGTAGCTTGTAGCTCCGGCCCCGGAAACCCCATCACTCACCCCACCTACGAGAAGAAACTCTAAATCCCACCCGCAGAGAAAAAACCGCGGCACGTCTTCAAAAGCGAGGGGGGGTCTTTCTCGAGCTCGAGATTCGGTGTCGTCGGGTGAATCAGTGAAACACAGCCCAGTCTGGGACCGCAGAATCACCTGAGGACCTAGCCCAAATTCAACGCGAGTGCACTATTCCAGCGTTGCTGGCAGTGGAAAATCATGAAGCAGGCAAGCACTTAATTTCGAGTGCGCCCCTCTCCAAGCCAAGGCTACCACTCAAAACCCGCTGAAGTCTTTCCTGAAGTTTAGACCCTCCCATACTCTCCCAGAATGGTCGGCCACCCCGTCTTGGCTAGCGCAGAAGACGATCTGCAGCCTGGCACCGCTACGAGTTCCACCACCTGTCAACATATTTTGAAATAGAGGGTCGACTAGGTAGTAGATCAAAACTGAGTGCCAGTTCTGCCAACCAGCCGTCGCGATCGGCCGCAAGGAAAACAGTACGCGAGTGCTCAGACGCACAACTGAAATCCGGGATTTCTGTCACGGACAGGTACTACTGTTTTGACACCTCGTCCTCGTCAGAGCCAGAATCGGCTTGTGGCGGTGGGAGTTCTTCCACCGGAAACGATGGTGCCCGCTTGGCATAAGTTTTCACGACTTTGCCTGCCAGCATGCTTGTTCCCCCTATTGCCAACGAAACAAGTGCGATGCCCGAGAACTGAAACTTCGGAACCACGCTGCACAATGCCACGCTCCCAACATCTGATACAACCCCTACAGCAGCCTTCCAAGGGGCCCTCCGGGATGCGCCGCATGGAGCCCTCGAGGCTGGCCACACGCTCGAAAAGCTGGCGTCGGAGCAGGTCGCGGAAGGGATCCTGCCATGACCGAGCAGGAAAACTGCTGCACAGATGCCTGCCTTGCCTGTTACAACACGCATAGACCAGGGCCCCTGCTGCGCTTCTGTGCACACCCAAACCCTCTGGATGAGTCAAACTCAAACGCAGCATTTCTCTTTGGATAAGCCACGGGCTGTCGCGACCTCCCACGATATTCCGTAATCGTGCGCTTAGTGCTGGTGCCTGCAGTGGCTTCGGTTTTCGGCTGTTTCGTTCTCGTCGAAGACATCTTGAAGGGCCACTGCCCACGCTACCAGAAGCTTGAGTTGTGGCTCCAGGTCGCAGCCAGACGAGCGCTGGAACACGCGTGCTTGCTTGCTGGGGGTTGGAGCCGGAGCTCCGGGCACACGCGCCTGCCCCGCCTGGTGTTCTCCCTGCTTCGACCGGGAAATCGTGGCAGTGATCGGCTACGCCCGTCGGCCCGACAACTGTCGCTTCTGAAAGTCTGACCCCGTAAACCCCGTCCGCAGCCTCCAAGCGTGCCTGCTGCAGCCATTCCAGTTCCTGTCATGCTGAACCTATGGACCTACGTATACACATCTTGTTTGCTGCTTTCCGGCCGGCTGTGATTAGGGCTTAAACGGCTTACCGACTCTTGTCAAACTGCGTTGAAGACATCTCTGGCGCAAACTTCTTCTCTCAACGCCAACACACAAGGCAAATCAAGGCAACTGTCGGCACTACTTGTAACAGTCACAAATCCATGTAAGCCGCCCCAGCGAAGGAACGCAGCGAGGTCCTGCTCCACGGCTTTGCGGATGCTGGCGTAAGCTTTCTTACAAGCGCCTTTGTCCTGTCATGACCATCACTTGCTCACGTTTTGAAAAGCCTCTGCTGCTGCAATTACAAGCAAGATGGCACCTTGGGGCTCACATCTTTCAAGTCAACCGGCTTGCCGAAGCCTTGGTTACCAAGACTTGTCACAGCCACAACTACGTGCGTGGGGTAAGGCAGATTCGCTCCAAGCTGCTGAAGTAGAAGCGATCCCCGATGCCCGGGCTGGATTGCGTTGCCAGCGACAGTGGCGGAGCCATGAAGGGAACGCTCATACCCGCCTCCTAAGATGTTCACCCATGGCTGTCATACGTAAACTTACAGGAACCCTTAGATTATACAAGTAGTACCCAAACAATGGCAAGCTAAATAGGCCAGGGCTCTAGGGACTCGGAGACCGGCATAAGGCCTCCAGATTTCGGCTGGCTGCGGGCCATGAAGGGCAGCAACTCTTCTGCCTTACTCCGGAGTTCTCTGGAGTTTGCAAGGACCTGGACATTGTCGTCTGCTCCAACTCCCGCAAATGGCACCACGAGGGCGTCGAAACGGGCAGCAACCCGGACAAAGTCCGTCTTGCTTGGCCAGAAAAGCTTGTAGGCCTCCCCCGGACCATGCAAGGCCTCTCGCACACCGCCGGGGAAAAGCAGCACCATTTCTCCTTGCTGCAGAAGTTTGAAGATGTTCCGAGGGGAGACCGGTACGGCACCAAAGGTTTGGAATTGTGAAGGTGCCCCACTTTCGCTCATCCGACGCATGGCGCCAGGGTAAGCGAGGCCTCGAGCAATCACGCCCCTGGTCACCAGGAATTCTCGGACCAAAGGCCCGAGATCCAGACCCCCGATCTGGTGGTTCCCTACCAGAAGCACCGGGCGATCTCCGGCCTCTGCCGGTGTGGGGACGCCGGCCAAACCGAAGGATCGCAGGGAAGGGGAGGCCGCATCGAAACTGCAGAAGACCGGGGAGACGACCGAGGCGATCCTCTCCACGCTCTTGGAGCCCTCTTCGAGCTCCTCCAAGCTTGGGAACTCGTAACCTGTGACGGGATCCTTGTAGGCAAAGATTGGGGACTCCTTCACAATCTTTGCAAAGTCGATGTCGCTGGCCAAGGGCTCGTGACTTCTGCTCTCCAGCTCTTTAACCTGCAGCCGACCTGTGAGACAGCGCTCCATCAGTAATCCTCGGAGCTCGCCTGCTTCGCTGGAGGAGGGCAACAGCGTGTCATCCTTTGAGAACGCCAGGAGAGTGGCGGGCAGAGAAGTTCGGCTGACCGGGCGCCGCAGGTCGCAGGAGACAGCTTCCCAGCCGTCTCGAAGCCAAGCCCTCAGCCGAAAATCGAGCGTCCCGCTCCGAGCAGCCAAGGCGGCCGACCGGAAGCCCGCTGCGCTCGTGGCTGCCTTCACGATCAAATCTCCGAGCCCATCCTCGAAGCTCGCCTGGCCTCCAACTGCAGGGGCTCCCTGCAACAACTCCGCGAGAGGCTTCACCGGCAGGGAGCCCAGGCTTTGCCAAGGCTTCTGCGCGAGGCCCGTGGCCGGGTTCACGAGCACGAGCCCCTTCAATGCCCGGCCAAGCCGTAGAGCCACCGCCAGTGCCAGCAGACCGCCAAAGCCGTCGCCGACCAGCACTACTCTGCGCCCGTCTGCAACTTGCTTGCGCAGCCACTCCTCCATGGAAACACGACTACTCGCAAAGCACCAAGACGCAAGACTCCCGAAGCCGCATATATCATACAACAATAAACTCATAAAACCCACACAGCCCGAATCCCTCCTCCACCGCCTGAGCCAGCTGTGCAAAGCCGGTCTTCCGGTCTTCTGCAGGAAGAGTGCATCGCCAAAGCCTCGAAAAGTGCTGAGGGAGCTTGAGACACTAGGTCACTCGGCCGCTGCGGATGTGGCGTCTGAAGCTGTTTCGTTTCGTCCGCGACGCTGGGTTTCTGAAACGAAGATAGGAGCGGGCAATGCCACGTAAGCAACCGATAGGCAGAAAGCCCAACGAGAACGCATCAGCTTGCCAGGTGACACTTGGACATATCATATATCCGAAGGGAGTTCACGCAAGGATTGTAGTAGTTCATCTCTCATGGTCTCTCGCAAGACTCGAATCAGTCCAGTAGGGGCTCGACTCGAAGCTGTCCACAAGACTGGGAAACTGCACCGCCGGTACCGTCCCAGTAAAGTCGATGTCGGACAGATACCTTTGAGAGGCCAGAGGTGGAATTTGTTGCTGAAGGGCTTTTCATGGCTTTTCCGATGCCAGATGATGCCAAGCCACAGCATGAGCTCGCTGTCTCCCTCGCTGGGCCCTCCAATGAGGTCAAAACGAAGTGGGCCCGATTCTGGGCCAGCAGAGCCATCTCCGCTTCGGGGAGCCTTGCCAGAACGTAGTGCGGCAGCCCACTCAGGCTGCAAGACGCCTGGAGCACTCAATGCTTCTCTGCACGCTTGCCGTGTCTTTCGCCGGTCCTGCCTTGAGGGCGACCGGCAGCCAGGGCAACCTGCCAGAAGCTTGAACAAAGGAGCTTGACGCTTGCAGCGCTTTGCAACCGACCACACCGGCCTTGTTGGCCCGTCTAGCTCGCAAAGCTCCTACCGAGGCCAATGCCAGGACACCTGCTGACAGTCTGTCGAGCTTGCCCGGTGAGGGATGCCAGCTTCGCCCAGGGCATCCTAGCACCAGCCGAAGCTCGTAGTCTAGGAAGTCATACGGAATGTTACATGTTAGTCCGAACCCCGAAGTAGCCTCTACCGTGCGTCTGATGCATGGCACACCAGCCGCAACGATATCAACTCCGATAGCTCAACAACCGAGCACGTCCTTGTCTTCCAGCCGGCAGTCGGCTCTCCGGCTGGCTCAACGCTTGCACTGGCGACGCTTGCCAGTTGCCAATAGCCGCCATGGCAGCCTATGACTAGCTGCCCCTCGGCGTGCAGCCCATACAGCTCCAACATGCTCTGTTTTCGTACGACTTGCGACGGTTCGACCGTTCGATGCCAGACAATGTGCAGGAAGGGAATTTCCTACCTGCACTGACTAGAACCCGAAAAGCTAGGATTACATCTTCCTGTGCCCCTTGCACGCTGCCTCCATGAGACCAATGGACCCGCGGATGTTGGTTGGACGATTCCTGTCGTCAAGAAGGCAAAGTCATGGCATGGCAGGCACTCGGAACGTGAGTTCAGCTCGGCGGGGTCCGATAGAAGAAACCCTCAAGATTTCAAAATGCCGCCCCTGCCAGCACGTTCCACATATTTTCCAATTGGTGAAAGTGCTGGCCCTGCCATGAGTATGTTTACATTCATGAAAACCTGCCGCCATTGCCAGCACTGTCCACATGTTAACTTCAACGTGATATTAAGGCGGGTCCTTCCATGAGTTTTAATCCAGCTTTATGTCTTCAGATGTGAACCTGCTGTCAATACGTGAAGCAACACGAATGCCCATCCTCAATTCCCAAGTTTTCTGCTTCTTGAGGATCTTGTCCTGAGACCGGCGCTGTCTCTGATCGTTCATGATAGCAACAGGCGTGCTTGCTGCACAGCTCTCCAAGGAAAAATCTCGGGTTAAACTAAGGCTAGTAGTAGCTCAGGCTTGGACACCTACAAATAAGTAGAAAGTGAGACGACGGGTCGTTGCAGCATCGAGCACTGAGAACTGGACAATCCACCTCGGCTGTGGCGAGACAAACTCAGAGGATGCTTGTGAGTGCTAGTCTGTGTCAGGTATTGTCTTCGCACACGTGTCTCATGAACTCGTTTCTCAAGAGCAAAGTTTAGCACAGATCACGTCGCCAAATGCACATCAGGTCACGCGGACGCTGGAACCAAACAAAACACATGTCATTACAGGTCAAGGGGCGAAGAGACATTGATGCTCTAGGCTCCAACTACTCGCCGTCTGGCATACAGGAGCAAAGAAAAAAGGCTGGCATCCCGGATTCGCTGCAGACGTTGATGTTTTGATATCTTTCCAGCCTCCCATTGCATACTTCCAAAATCAAGCACCCAACCAAATGGGTCCAGGCAAAACTTCTACCTACCCTTCCACCCCAGCAAACTTATTCCGCATGGTGGGTGTCGGTGTGCTTAAAAACCATCACGCCTGTCGAAAGGTCCTTTGCTGGACTGAAGGCGGTTCCCAACGTGGACGCTGATCGATGCGCAATTAGTTGATGCACGATGGCCCCTCCCAAAGATGTCACGACACAACTTCAGTCTTTTCGGTTCTGTTGCTACTTCTCTGACTATAGCGAGTTGAGTTAACTGGCCACGCTCAACACAAGCCACCCATCCTCAAAAATCCCCCTCCACGGGCATGGAGAATGAATTCTCCCTGCTAACTGCAACTGCTCGGTCCTTCAAGACATCCCGCGATCCGAAGTGCATGCAAGCAGCGGCTGTCGGATCAGCAGCCCTCTTTCTGGGCGTTTCGGTCCAGGCTTTTTGCTCAAAGCCACCTCCCGGCATCGCAGAAGTGCGGAAGAAGGAGGTAAAGAGGCAAAGCTCACAGAAGAAGGGCGCATGCTGACCTTCTTTGCCTTGCGTGCACGCTGAGGAGCAGGGGACCGCGGGTTCCTCTGCAAGCTAGTGCACGTCCGAAAAGCCTGGAATGCAAGAAGCCTACAACACACTCCGACATCCTGAAACCGAAAATCCTTCACTTCACTGTTGTGGTTCTTGCTATTAAGTACCGCTACTTCTGCTACCACTACCACCACCACCGCGGCTGCAGTGCACATCCCCTCATGCTCGCATCATCTCGGAGCTTCATTTTCCACTAAAACCAACATTACTATGATCAATATGACTACTAACACTTTGATTACTGCGATCAATATTACTACCACGACCAAGGTTAGTACCCAAATTACCCCGCATTGCGATGATTGAAATTATTCGCCTCATCATTGCCATCAATATTGCTTCTTCAGCTGAAAGATGCTGAAAGTATGCTCATCTCATGTGCACGTGTCCTCTTGGAGGGGCCAGAGGCCTTGCCTGGGAGGTCAAATGGACATCTTTCAGAGTGTGGCGTGTTTTTCTTTGCCTCCTGTTATAGGGCCCTTAATTAGAATGGGGTTTTCGGGCCCATTATACTGAGTATAAGAAGGAACCCAAAAATGGTATCGGTACTTATTTAGGCCCCTCTATTACTTCGCTTCAGGTTTTGGCTTACGGTTTCGAGGTTGTGGCTGTGCATTTCAGGAACTGCATTTCGATTCTACTTCGGCTTGTGCATGCGGATGCGAGGCTTCGGTCTCGGTGTCTGACTCTTTTGAGGTGCCATGGCGGAGGCAAAGAGAAAGCAAGACGCAGCCCGGGGGAGCAGCCCGGTGAGTTCTTCAGGTCGCCAGCTCCTGCTTTTCTTGTCGGGACTGTGGGATCTCCGTTATGATTATGTCCCTTTCTTTGGCCAGAACTGCTACACAGACAGGAAGATATGATTTTACAAAACTACGAACCGACAGCAAATGATGGTCCATGAGATGAATGAAGAAAGATTGAAACATATCCTACGGACAGGAGCTCATTGGAATATCGGCTGGAGCCAACGAAGCGCACGCTGTCCCGACTGCGGCAAAAACTCAGCAGCTGTCACAGCATCGGTGTATGGTCAAACACCCAGCACAACTCACACATGGGCAGTGAGCTGGATCAAGCTCACGGCTGCTAGTTTGCCGCCATAGGACTTGTTCTTCCGCAGTCCCGACCTTGGAAGAAGGCGCGGCGAACGAAAAAAACGCACGGGTAGTTGTCAAAATTATGGTCCCTTTTGGGCCCCCAAAATAGTACGGCACCTAATGTTTGGGGTGCCCAAAAAGGAACCACAGTTTTGACAACCACTCGACATGAAATTATTGGGACTCTCGAAACTCGGTCAGCCGGCGGCAGCCAACACTCCCGCGATCTACCGCACATTCAAACTCCCCCCCCCCCCCCCCAAAGGGGGAGTAAAGTGTGGTATCGGATTTGGCACTTCTAAGCCCCAAAAGCGCTGAATTTTCGCCGCGCGCAGCTAGCAAATTCTGTGCTCCGGTGCGTCGCGCCGGGGCGCATATACAAGATTCCGTCTGCTCCTGCACTCCTCGGCGTCATGTCAGTCCGGAGCTCCGGCCTTATTAGGCCGAAAAGCGCGCAAACCTGGACTCCCCGCGTCGCGTCCGGCCATGCGCAGCAAAGATGGTCATGGGAAAATGTATCCTAGAAGGGCTCCGAACCCCGTGAGGTGGCAAGACGGGAAAGATCAGCTGCTCTTTCGGCGAATAGGCACTGCTAGAGAAGACGATGTTTCTGATGCGTGGCCAGTGCTGTACGAAATCATTGAGGTCCCGTTGATTGCATGATCCAGACTTCGGATACTTGGGGAAGTCGACGCCTTCGGCAGCCTTGGCCGCAGAGCCCTGCAGGATATGTATACAGTGTACGTGAGAAGCCGTGCAGTTGGGCGGCGCAACTGGTAGGACTGCGGAATCCAGGACAAGAACGAAAACTTTCAGGACAATGATGATAGGCTTCATCCAGAATCTGAAGACCGGTCCCATTTTGGCCATGGGAAAACAACCGGGGGCCGTACCAATGCGAACGCATCGTGATGGCCATGAGCAAGCTCGTGACAACGAGCCTCACTCTTGAATGGTCATGTTTCGGCGTAATACTGTGCTCACATGGGAGTTTCCGAAAATGGGGGACCCGAATAGAGTACCCTAACTAGTAGGATCCTTATTATAAGGACCACAAATAAGGTATCTATGGCACAATGACGTCAGGCTGTGTGCGACAAGCTCTTGCACAAGTCTCGGTGTCAAACGATATCAGCAGGAAAGTCGGTGAAGGCACCTACCACACATTGCACGTTCCACGTCTTTCGCACCCAGCTCCGTCGAAACAGTGGAAGATCAAGTTCTCAATCGCGCCTGAATAGGCCGGAGCTTGGACCCATCCAGGGCAAAGTACAGCGACGTCACCTAAAACAGATTGCCCTGAGAATGCGGAGGTCTTCGCAGAGATGCGGTCACTCAGGGCTCCACGTCGCAAAAGCGCTGAGCAGTTATGCTGATGCCTCTCGAGGACAGACCTGTTCGAAAACGGGGAGCAAGGGCAATCCAACGCTGCTGCTACGCAGTATCATGTCAGAGAACCACATTCGGCCGCAAAACAGAGAGTGCGATTCCTACAAACCGCAATAACATCGAGCAGGTGATAGGGGAGCACAACCCGATGAGGGATCCTAAACACAAAAGTAACTCAACGTGCTTCAGCCTAACACGCGCCCCCAGGACTGGCGACTCGACTGCGCCGGGTGCGCCATGGGCATTCTGTGCACGCATGTAGTGCTTAGCGCGCTAGCCACTAGACCAACATGTCTTGTCCGATGCATTCGGACGGCTTCTCAGAGCCGCAAGCCTGACGTCTTGGGGAGGAGGCTCCAGGCTGGCGATATTGAGTATGTCCAAGGGATGTGAACGTAAGTGCCAGCGTTGCTCAGAATGCCATGAATGCCTCAACCATGTCATGCAGTTGCATTTGCTGCTGGATCCTCATAGACAGCTGCATGCGCCAATGCTAGTCTGACCGATTAGGCGATGCAGTTGCCAAAGTCGTCGCAATGGAACTGCTTGGCACTGCAACTCCAAGATACTCCAAGCCCATTATAGCTCTTGCAAGTATGCATACTCCAACTGCTGCTGGTGGCACAAGTTGCATTTTGGCCCTTTTCCCCGCAAACCATTTCCCAAGCATTGCAGGAGATTCGTTAACACTGCTGTGCGGGTAAGGTCTGCCTTGGACCCTCCTGATGACCTGCTGCTTCTGAGCAGATCCACCTACTTCTGCTCATCTAAGATACCCAGTTAACGGGATCTGATGGCGAGGGAGCTGTGCTTAGGAGCTCTCCTTCGCAAGGCTCCTCCTCACATTCTTGCCTCGGAAGCTTTCTGGCGCCCAGAAAACCTCACAGGAGTGCGCAAAAGCCCTTCCAATCGTACTTACACGGTCTGCCGTCCCAACACCCATGCTGCAAATGGAGATGATCAAAAGCAAAGAAGTCTGCAATGGGTCATCTAATCGGACTCCAGCCTCCGGTCCCACGGTCCTCAGCAGGGAGCACCAAGGAGGCACAACAAGAGCTGCCAACACTTGGAAGGTCTGTTGCCCCCATGCAGCCATGCAGATGCTCTGCTCCGGGTCCGAATACCAGCCAAGCAGCATGTTCGATGGCTGCACAAAGTGCGGATCTGCTGGACCCTGTTTGGTGGCCATTCCCAGACCTCGGACTCTGATGGGAGCGGATGCGTGGTCCGGAGGGGGCCAGCGCCGCAAGTCTAGCGGCACCCCTGGCGCATCTTTTCTGCTACTCTCCTGAGTGCAGGGCTGCTTACCAGTCGCGCAGAGGCTTCCCGGTCTGTCCTGGGCCGGACAGACACTTTCAATGCCCTCAAATCTAGCTTTACTGAGAGACGACATCTTGAGCCGTTTGTTGGGCCAACTTAGGTTCCAGAAGCTCAAGACGGCAGATGGGGGTCCCGGCAGTCCCTGTTGAAGCAGCTTCTCCTGTTCTGGGGTCAGCTCCTGGAAGTCCGCACTCATTACTGATCATCTTCCCCACCGTTCCCTGCGGAATGAAAGAAAAGAAGATCAACGCCACCTCGACGTCGCTGTCTTCGCCACATTGCACGGCAGCCTCCTGCCGCAAGTCTCGCAGTCGGACAGACTGTTTTGCTGAGCAAAGCCTGCCGAAGTGCGCAAACTAGCATCGATTCGGTCTCTGGCGAAGCTCCGAACTTACACTTAAACCTGATCGCTCTGCCGTCTTTGTGCATCTTGGATCCTACAGTATCCTGTCTGTCCTCATCGGAAGAGTCGGGCGCCGCAGGCTCGGGCACTGTCTTTGGTGCCTTGCAATCTGCGGTGCCGGCTGAGGTGCCTCAGTCGGATTCAGCATTCCGAAAGAAATTGCTTTGGCTCGGCTGTCCACTGGCCAACCGCGGAGATCACTAGCTGGCCGGACATGTCAACGGCCAACGCTACCCAAATGGAGATCCCTCTGCCGCGAGATCCCTTGAGACACAGCGCAGGCATGTACTCCAGACCAAGAGCCCTGCAGACTCCGCGCAAACCTGCGAAAAGCGATCGTTCACGTTTTCGCTGGTCGGCCTCCCGATGACAGAGACTGCCGTTCCGTGTTCTACGCTACCCAAAGTACCATGCTAGCAGTAGCAAGTTTCTGCTGCAGGGTTCGACACCTCTTGGGCCTTGAGCTGGCTCCTGAAGAGCAGGAACGATGTTGGACATGGCACTTTCTGCAAAACGGTGTGACAGGGTCTAGAAAAACAGATTGACAATTTCTGCCGCATTCGCAACCTGACAGAATGCCGGATATGGTGTTTGATGGTGTTTGAATGCAACGCCGCGCAAGCGCAGGAACGTCTGCAAATAGCCAGGGTCCCGAAACACATATGATGTAGCACATGTAGTTCCAACTTCGGCTCAACCCTTGACTTTAGCTCGCACAAAACTGTTTGCGGCAGGGCTGAGAAATGGGCAGCTTCTTCCGAGCATCCGGATTGTCTGGGTTTACCTGCCGGCGCTGCATGAAACAATCCAAGAACGAACGACTCTTCTTCTTTACTCTACACTTCATATCACTGACAGGGTGGATGCGCAGTCGGCTGCAAGCACCAACTCGACTGATCGAGAATAGGGTCAGCCCTGACCTAGAATGGACACAACCCCCCGAAACAAAGAGCAGGTGCTGGAGTTCCCATGTTCAGCTGGGCAGGCATTCAGCCGTGGCCATCGGGTAAGAAATCGCCGGTACCGCCAATCTGTCATCTGTGGAGTCGGAAGAATCAACAGGGGTCTGTGGAAGCGAAGGCATCCTCGGTAAAGCCATTGTCTGCATTGTCTGTGGTGGCGGCCGGGCAATGGTGATGGCTGTTGAGGTCGTTTTGATTCAAATAATTTTCCTGATGGTGGCGGGACCAGTGTTGCAACTACCGCTCACAGGAGCGCCATAGGTTCGACTCAGACCGGGAGCAATAAGTAACAATCCCTTCAATAGCCACTACAGTACCTTCCCAAACGCCTCCGTAGCTTTTGTTGTGCTTCCGGATACTGGCGGCGGCGTGGCTCTGTACACTTGTCGAAGCCTCTGTACAAATTTCGGAGCCAGCAAAGCGGAGCCTCAGAAGATCGCTGGGCCAGTTCGGTGCAACGAACACGGAAAGCTGAGACCTAAGACCTACCACAGGCAGCCCCAGGTGTGTGCTCTCGACCGTTAAGCCCGCAATCTGCTGAAGTGCTGTGGAGATGCTCTGTCTGAGAGTGGTTCTTTACAGTAACACTCAACTGTGCCCTGCCTATTGCAGGGTGGAAGAAACGTGACAGAGTCACATGAAGTCATATGAGCTGGGCACCCTTATGCACCAGCAGCAGCAAGGCTCGCATGATTCGCCACCGCTTCTTGCTGCCCCTTGCCTGCCTCTTCGCTCTTGTCCTCGGCCAGTTCCAGAAGAAGCTCTGTCGCCCTGGGCACGCCGCCAGCAGCATCGAGCTTCCCGGCACACGCCAGGGCTCTGGCCTTGTAGGAAGGCTGATCGAGAACTTTCCGAAGACAGGCTGCAGCTGCCTCACGATAAGCGGCTGCTTGGGTGGATGCCTTGTCCACAGGACCCATCGGGCGGTCCACCTTGAGACCTACGCCAAGCGACTCTGCCTTGGCTGCATTTTCAATCTGATCGCCGAAGCCGGGGCACACAACCATGGGGACGCTGGTGGAGAGGGCTTCCATGAAGCTGTTCTGGCCACCATGCTGCAGGAAAACGTCCACGCCCGCACGCAGGACGTCCACTTGGGGCACGGAAGGGGCGCAAAACGCGTTCGGCGGGGCCGTCAACTCATCCAAGGCATCGGGCTGGGGCCCCAAAGCCACGAGGATCAGAGGCCCAGCCTCTGAGGAATCCGAACCGAAGGCATCGAAAACTCCAGCCCAGGCTGCCTGGCAAAGCTCCTTGCCCGTGAGGCCCCGAGGCTCCCCGTCCACAACCGGACGAGCGCTCCAGCCCAGTTGTTTGTTGTCTCCGGTCACCATGGTGCCCAAGCTGGCCAGCACCACCTTGCGACCGGCCTTGCGTGCCTCCTGAACGAGCTCAACCGGATCCTGTTCAGAGCTTGCCGTGTCCTCGTTGTCCTTGTGGAGCGAGGCATCGAAACGAAGGCCGGCGGCCCGTTTGGCACCAGGCTTGTCGAGCAACGGGCCCACAAACGTGAAGTTGGCACCTGCAGCGCGGTTAGGTTCTTCGATTCCTCTGTCTTTTGGTAAGGCTTGCTGTGAGTTCAGCACTCTTTGACACAAGCAGACACTCATATCCTAAAGGACAACACTGCTTTTTGAGAACCCCTATATATTATGTCTTAACGGACGCTCAAAAATAGTCAAAAGTTCTTTTTGGGTTCTTTACAATAAGGGTCCTAAGGGCTGGGTCACTCCTCAAAGGGGTCCTTTGTATAGGCTGCTGTTCATCTTACAGGGGGCTTTCATATTCCTAGTAGAGTAGGTAACCTTTTCCCTTGTTGGGGTACTATAACCCCTATATTCTATTCCCACATACTCCCAAAGGTTAACCTTGAGTTCCCAGGGATACTAGAGGGATACTGGACAAGCAGGTATTAGTTTCTGCGAGGGTGGAATGTTTGTTGAGAACCCCCGACCCCGCACCCCACCTGCCCTGTCGTACGCCTCGCGTAGGTCCGCGGGATAGGGGTCGGCGAGGAACTCGCAAGTCGTTACGAGGGTCAACCTGGGTTCTTGTTAAGGGAAGGGATTTTATTTAAGTTACCATAATAAGGAAACCATACTATTTATTAAAGATCCCCCTTCTTATTATTATCATCATTATTGTTACTACGTCATTATGGTAACTTAGAGCTAAGCTCCTCAACAAGAACCCAGCAACTGGCTCAGAGCCATGGCAGGGAGCAGACCAACTGGTTTCAGAGTGTCTTCTACACCAAGGGGAAGACCTCGCGCATTCAAGCGTGCTTTTGGTTTAGGGTTTAGGGTTTAAGGGTTTAGGGTGTTTTCCCTCCTACTTGTTTAGGGTTTAGGGGGGTTTCGGGCTTAGGGTACACCAAGGGGGCGACCTCGTGCATTCAGGCGCTGCAAGCAGTCCCTCAAAGGCTCAAACTGCCGACGCTGCTCCAGCATCTGCTCCACCGTCAACCCGGCAGCATCAAGGATGTTTTGCCAGGCAGGTTGGCCAGCACCTGGCCCAGCAATGGTCAGGATGCTCGCGCATGGCAGACCTGCCAGCTTGGCAGCCAAAGATGCCTCCAGGTTGATCAGCGGATCGCAAACAACCACATCCGCACCGATCTCCTGCAACCAACGCAGAGTGCCGGGCAGCATCATTTCCGACATGATCTCCTTCAGAATCATGCGCCCGCGGACGTAGCCCTGGCTGGTGAGTCCGTACTCATCTTGCAGAGAGGCAATTGCGCCAATCATGTCTGGCTCCCTGCCGACGTAAAGCTCCGGCTGCACATCAATTTCTGAGTGGAACTTGGCACCAGTGTCCTCAATTGCTGCCTGCATTTGTGGTCGGCACAGGTAGTGCACGCGATGGCCCCGCTCAACAAGGCATCGAGCAACGCCCAAGGATGGATTGATATGGCCGGAGGCCATGGGGAACACGAATGCAAAGGTGTGAGCTTTCGCCATCGCTGATAGGACGAAGGGCTCTAATCTGAGAATGCGACTTGTCACTTGAGCACTCAGTACTGCAAACATCAGCAAACCCATAGAACTTGAAAGGCTCGGTCGTCTGATTGCTCAGCGATGTGGTCGGAGTCGAAGCAGGTTCGCTTAACGAACCGATGACCAAGGTTTGTTAAAGCCCCTTTGCTGTTGACATTACAACGGACAACAAGTGCTCTACTCAGGCTCTACTCTGCGACAAGCAACTGGCAGCACAGCAGCAGCAGCATCAGGAGCTGCAGCAGCGGCGGCAGCAGCAGCAGCTTTAGCATGATACGTGTAGCTGGAGAGCCGGCAACGGCCAAACTCGGCCTCCAAAGAGAGCTTGCAACTGGCCATGGCTTTTGACACCTGGCCGCGGACCAGCCCGTGCACCATCAGGCAGGTGCGATGAATATGTCGCAGGATGGCAGATTTGCTACTGGGTTTTTGCGAGTAAACACCAGTTCTTACGTTACGCTTCAAATTATCAGGCCTTCCTCGCTGGACCACGCAGAAGCTCCAGGGAAGGTATGGAGACTTGTTCAGATTCGAGGGCTCCAATGAACCAGCTCGTGCTACCAGAGACGGGGATAGAAACTCCTCCGACTCCGGCCTGCTTTGAACCCGACTTTGCAGCTCAAGGCATTTCCCCTCACTGCCAACCCTGGACAAATGGAACACACCTCCACTAAATCCGCAAATCCCCACACTTCCGGGCACGCCAGGCCTCGCCAGCAACTTCGTAGGCTTCCGCCTTGCGGTAGTGCACCTGCTCTGTGACCGGAGACTAAAGTCAAACTCGCAAATCAATAGAAACTGAACGAGCCCTCACCCAAATTCCTATCCTGAGAAAAAAACTGTGCGCCAGAGCCAGTCCGAGAGGGCTTCGATGCTCACACCCGAACTCGCGAGACAATTGATGGGAGGTCATATGCAAAAAGCCTAGCATGCTGCTAATTCAACAGCTGCTTCGCACCCACCACTGCGATGGAAAGTGGTCGTTTTAGCACTCGCGCTCGACGAAGGCCTTTACGTTGTAACCCTCGGGCCCTAGAAAAACCAGGCACTGTAGTTCACCCCGAAAAACCAAAGGAGGCTTGTGTCAAGCCTTGCCACGGAGCTCGGGAGTCACCGCGATCTTCAGCCGCTCTCGCAGCGCCTCAACAGAGGTTATCTCCGAGATGTTACGATGTGAGACCAGACCATAAAGATGATGCGATGTTACTCTGTCATAAGCCCCTTGCAAAGGCTATTCCTTTTGACAGGGGTTTCGCTGCATGCTCAAGGTGTTCGGCTTCAGGTTCAGCTCTTACAGCTATGCTCAGCATCACCTTTAAGCGCGAAACTCGTTGACGGGCTCCTGCGCATTTGGTCTCGGTCCGAAGAAATCCCACTTGCATTGAAACAGCTAAAAAACCACTGCCTGGAAGAAAGCCCAAACTTTTTCAGACCCAACACGTGGGTAAGAAATCCGTGCGAAGTCCGCTTACCCAGCTCGAGAACGATGTGGATCGCATAAACAAAGCGCGTAGGTTCGAGCCACAGCTAGACTTAGTTAGACCTCCTCACGCCACCTCAATTTCGCGTCGTCCTCCTACTGCCTGACATCCGGACAATTCAAAGCGGCACAGATCTATCCATCTCCAACTCTGGTTTGATCTTGAGCAGAACAAAACGAAAATCCCAGGAACCGGCCTTGTCACAGTGCTCCAGAGCTTTCTCGACCTTCTTGAGCTTTGTGTAACCAAGCCTGCGAGGTGAATTTAGCTCCAGCCTTCTATGTAAAGGTTTATCTCCGAGGCGGCGACGCCATGTTCGAGTGCAACCTGAACTCTGTGTCGGCATCCTCCGGATCCCCAAGCATCCGCATCTTCACCAACAGCATTACTTGGTGCGAAGAGTACTTGTGGGAGCAGTAGGAGCAGCAGCGGTATGGGCAGGAGGAGCAGGCTCGGAGCAGGAGCCAGGAGCCAACAGCTCGTACAGTACTGCTATATATAGCGCCGCAGCAGCACCATTAGCAGTGGTCGTCGTCGTAGTAGTCGCAATGG